AACTTTGTTTCAATACCACAATTTCTTTAGTCCAAATTGTAAATTTGATATATTTATGATATGCAAATATAACAAGTACTTGCTAATGGTAAAAAAAAAAATTTTAATGTTGGAGCAATTCTTATTGTAACATAAGATTTTGAATTAGTTACTTCAAATCAAATTCCTATTGAAATGAAAGAAAAGATTGATAATTTTTTTTCAACCTTACGGTAATGATAAAAAAATTATTTTAATAATAGGTTCGATTCCAAGAAAAAAATATAGTGAAATGATTTTTCCAATTGTTTCTCCAAATCCAATTACTAACAAAAAAGTTCATTTTTTAAAATATCCAATTAATGTTGATGGTAATATGGTACATACTAAGATGCAAAGCTTTAATGATTTGAATCAACGAATAGTTAAATGTATATCCTAATGATGTTTAATTGGAGCGAGGACTTTTATGTCTTTATAGATGTGTCGGACTTTTGCATAGGTGTTCTTTTGAACAAGTTTGATGAGCACGACAAATATCATCATATTCTTTTGATCAGTAGGCTAAAGTTGAGAAGAACTACTTTCATAATAATAAAGTAGTTCGGAACATCATTTACTCTTGCAATAAAATTTGAACATTATTTGATGTAGTATTAAGTGATATTTTATACATATCATAATGCCCTTGAGTACATGATGAATAAGCCTAATTTTCAAAATAGAATATCTAGATAGATGTTACTTCTTCAAAAATTCAACTATGAGGTAAATACGAGATTTGATAATCAACATATTAACGTTGATAATTTTTCTAAGATTAACAAATTAAAGTATAATAAAAAAAATTGATGATAGATTTTTAGATGGAGTTTTTTTCAAGTGGCATTTTTTCAGTCCACATGATTTGGTTATATCATTGATTTTTTGTACAATGTGATCATAATTAAGAAGATGTATCAAGAGTTAACAAGTGTATTCATAAAAATTTTTGATATGATTTGTTGATAAACATGGTTTTGCACAAAGAAGTAATAGATGACAAGTTGAGATCGTGCTTAGAGAAACAAGAAGTATGAGTATAATGATGACTCTACATGAGGAGTATGCTCGTGGACGTTTTGCTTCAACAAACACAACTAAGAAAATATTGGATGTATGGTATGGATTGCACATAATACACAAGTATGTTCATCAATTTATTAAGGGTTATTATGCTTGTAAAAGACATAAAAATTAACTTTTATTAGTTTACTTCAATTCTACACTTGATTCCGTTTGAAAAATGGAGTATTGATTCCATTAGACATATTATTGCTATTATCAAGAGAAAAAAAAAATATAAACAATTGCACTAAATAGGCGAAGATTAAATCCACAATAAAAAATGATGCAAAGACAAAAGCCAAGTTTTCATACAAGAAAATGTTGATCATATTTGAAATTTTTGAATGACAGAATAAATCATTTTTTGAATCAAAGAGCGGAGTAGATGACCACCATGTATTGGTTCTAACATTGCAAGATTATTACATATCATCCTAAGGCAAATAGGCTCACTGAATGAACTAATAGTATGATTGATAATATACTCGACAAGATTGTTGCGATGCACAATAAAGATTAGGATGTAGATTTATTCGTTTCTATGTATGACTATAATTTAAATTACAAAAAAATTAAAGTTCGGATCTTTTACTTTTTGGTATTTAAAAAACACTTGTTATTTCTAATTGAATCTAAGATTTTTCATTAAGGGTGAGCATGGAGTAAAGTATGTTTGTTGACTAAAGTTTAAGATAAAATATTATACACTTGAAAGTAAAGAACAAACATGGATGTAATTAGTTGTACGTTTGGAACGAGAACAAGTAATCACAAACAAAACTCATGATAAAACGTTCAAGCCAATCTCATTAAAAATAGATAAGCTAATTTTACTTAATAATTTTAGTTTAGTTCACTTTAGTAAACTTCATATTTTTTTATTAGACTTATATGTGATGCAAGCAATTTATTCAAATTGCTCAATTCAAGTTTTAGATATAAAGGGAAATTTTTTTCCAATAAGAGTGCATTTTGATAGGTTCAAAAAATATTATTATACCGTGTAGTGTTCGCAAAGTTGTTTCACAATTTTGAAATGGTTTATGTGGAACGGTTGTTTTCACAAAAGAAAAATAGTAATAAATATTTTAGTTTTTTAATCATAGCTATTTTGGTTGCTCTCAAATATAAATAATTTAAGCAAATTACTTTAAATAGGTATTTTCAACACAACTATATTTCATATATATATATATCATGGTAAATCATAATAATTAATAAAGTTTTCTTTGAATTATTAGCAATGTGTGAGATTATTGTTTTAAAGATAATAATAATTGATACTTTAGTTTTTTACAAAGAATAACTATTAGGTAGACATAGATTATGACTTGAATCTCTAAAAATGTTATTCGTCAACATAAATCAACCAAATGAATTCTTTTCTATCACATTTTTATCTCTTGTTCTCTTGAGTAAGTAGATTTGAGTTGTATCTATTTTTTGGAGTTGTTGTTAAAGTTCAATGAATTTTCATGGAACAACAAGTGGACCATGAATCACGGTATGCGCAAATGTAACTTAACTATATTAGTGTAGATTAGATAGTAAATTGAATGTTTTATTAGAAAAAAATTATTATTGTTTCTTGAAGAGTGATCAGGAAAATATCTTTTGTTTATAAGTAGTGTCTTTGTTTTTTTTAAGAGTGTATTGACTCTGTATGAATGCTAAAAGATGATAATAACTACAAAACTAATGGTTTAAATTGTAAATTGATTGATTGTCTATACAATTTCTACTTCAAATTAAAAAAATTTTCAAGATGAAATTTATTTATTTCTAGGTGAAATAGTTCATATAAAAACAAGCCAATACTTATTGATTGTTTCAAATTTTTTTAATTTTAATTATGAAACGATTGTAAGATGTAGACTAGAATGTAATAATATTAATTAATGTATGAAAGCATGGAGTATCACTGTTCGATATAAAAATTTATCATTATAAAAATTCTTACTTGATCCACTTATTGTAAACTATAAATCATCGATATATTTGATTACTTCTTTGCATGTAATTTTTGAAATTTGATTTATCTAGGTGAAATATGAAATGACAACATTTTAAATTGGATTTATTTTTTGACAACAAAATCAAAATTATATATTGTAAATTACGATGTAAAAAAGTGCTATAACATTTAAGAAATTTTTTCATTTCAAGGAATACACTTCTAATTGAGCCACATATATGAGGAGTTAATAGACACAAAGTAATGTGATTGGTGTTTATTTGTTGTAATTTTTACAACAAGTGAAAATGACATAATGAAAAAATTTAAGATCAACTATCATCAATAAAAAATAAAATTAATTGATATTTGAACCATAACAAAATTAACTATTTGGAACATAATCATAACAAAATGATACATGAAGAAAATTTTTAAAATATGAGAAAAATTCCTATTACTTTTTTAGGTTTTTTACCAAAAATGAGGTTTGTTCAGTGTATCCCTCGGAGTACTTATGACTGATCTGTCACCCATTACATTTTTGGATATACCTCGGTCCTCCGGAAAATAAATAATATATAAATTATTTACTGAAATATGAATAAACATATACTTATATATGTAAGATAATTTATTGGATATAAATTTAGAGATAAATTGTATTTAAAATATTTTTTTAATTAAATAATTAAAATATGATGTAAAAGATTTCATTATAGCATGTAAGATAATAATGTCCATATTATTCATAATAGGATATATTCTAAGTATATTTTCAAAATTTTATATATATAATGTAACAATCATTAAGAGATAAATGAATTTTGACAAGATTATTTAAAAATAAATGTAAAATACAATAACTGAATTTATATTAAGATGAAATAATTGTAATTAACTTTATTTATACATCCCAATAAATTGAGTTAGAATAAAACTCTTTAGGTAGATATAAATTATAAAAAAATAATATCATGAAATTAATTGAATTTGTTTGACACTAAAGTGAAAAGCGCGGGAACACTAAGTATTTTGGGAGTAGATATCATAATCAATTTGAATCTCGAGAACGCAAGAGTAAGTGCACAAACATCTATGTTTCTTACTAACTCAATGGTGAGTCACTCGACTTTGTTGAATGCATAGCAATAATTCAAAGTTGAAAGCTTTTGTGAAAAGATGCAACGTTAGCCTAGGGTGGAATCCAAAATCGTGCTTTGGAAGTGGTACCAGCGGCCACACATGCATGTAGCTCCCTGATTGACTGACTGTGGACCTTAATATTATCCAGTTCCTTTCTCACAAGTTTCCACCAGTCACCCGACAGTGTGAATTGACTACGGTCACAAGTTTCGAGTTGCTTACATCTCCAATCATCACACTCCAATTTACACTTTCTCCATGTATAGCACGAGAGCGGTGATGCATGAGGGTATTATAAGATGCACATACATAAATTTCCGTATAAGAATTATCCAAATAACACATTTGTCCTTGTCTAAGTTTATAAAGACATACATTAATAAACATATAATATTAAGAAAATTTAAAACTCCATTCTCGAGATTTAATTCCAAATACGCATGAGAAGAACTATAGTCACATGAGTAAACGGTAATCCAAGATTATGTGAAGATTTGTGGGCTATACTACTTTGAACGTTATAGAATCTAATGTAACTTATTATATAGGTTGTTAGATATGTAGCCGATTGCAAGCCATATCTTTCTAATGCCCATTTGTGAGAAGGTCTTGGACGGCTGAGATGCATAGCATTAAATGTTGCTCCGGAGTTTGAGGATCGGGGGGAAAGAGCCAAACAGCATAAGGTGGTCCAGTTGGCCTGGGAATCATAATTGACAACTGCGGATAAGAGGTACGGGACCGGAAGGGAGTGACCGGAAAGCGACGGTAAAACCCTACCCAGATGTCAAGCAAAACCCTTTCTCGGTGTCTCTCTCTCCAGCGACGGAGCAGAGCGTCACAGTGGTCTGTTTGGTCCCGGGCAGCGGAGCTCGAGCTATGGCGGCACCGAAGAGCGCGGGTCACGACGAAGAGCCTGAGCTTGGAGCGAGCGCATGGAGGATTGCGAGTCGGTGGGTTCCATGAGAGGCAAGAATACGTCGGTAGAATTGCAGATTGTTGAATTCAGGAAGAAATTGGATTCGTGATGGCTTGTGCCTCAGCTCAGGCCGTCCGTCCGCTGGCGGGCGTGTCGCCGTGCTGCTCCTCGCGTAGAGGGGCTGTGCAGCTTGCTAGGCGAAGTGGTTCGTCTTTGAAGGTCGGTGGTAGCAGTTTATGGTTGCCTCGGAGATTGGGGCGCAGTGATTTGGTTTGTAGTCCCAGGAAACCGAGATGGAACACTCGGATGAATTACGGCAGCTCGATGTGCTTCTATTATGTGGCGCAGAGTCAGATTTCTGAGGCTGAAAGTAGAAAGTTGCCGAGTGGTAGAAAAGGGAAAATTGGGGGTTTGGAAGATTCGGAAATTCGAAATTCTCCTTCAAATGGATTGGCACTACCAGACTTCGAGGACGATGGTATAACACAGACTGAGGATTCCGACGCCAGGAAGAGGAAAGCGAAGGGTTCGTCCAAGCTGAAAGGCTTGCAGAATGGTGTCACTGGAAGCAACTCTTCTGAGCGGAGGGGGAGGAAGAAGAGTGTGAGAGATGAAAATGAGGACAACGTAGAGAATTTAGAATCCGCCCACACGAGTGAGGAGTATTTTAGCGACGAAGGTGAGAGCGATTTAGAAGCTGATCACTTGAGCAGTAGTAGTACTTCGCATGAAGATGAAAATTATGATAGTAATCTAGAATCAGAAGACGAAGGCGAAGAGGAAGATGCTGTAGACGAGAGTAGGAAGGGTAATCATGAACTTTTTACGCAGGGAGGTAGGACACAGGTTTTGGACCTCTTCACCAGAGAGAGGCTTGCCGTGGGACAAGAAAGTGATCTGCGGTTGATGTTTTTGGAGTCAATAATGGAAAGGGCACGGAGTGGTGACGTAGATGGGGTCGAGGAAGCGCTCGCAGAGCTGGAGATAGCCGGAATAAGGGCTGGTCCTCATGCATACCATGGCCTCATTGTAGCGTACACGCGCGCCAAGGACTCTGAAGGAGCGGTATGTGAAACTCCGATACCTGTAACTTCTCTTTCAACTTTCTTTGATGCAAGCGTTCTGATTTTCCATTACTTACAAGACATGACGAACTAGGGATAGACTCGCGCACATTTTATCTTGTGCACAAGTCCTCGGGTCGATTTCGAATGAAATGCTTCTCTTCTATGTTAGCATTTGAATTGCAGCTAGTGCAGTATCGAAAACTATTTTTATTGCGCAAGTTGGGCTTGTAGACATACGTGGTTTGAATGAAACTCGTCTGTGGAATATTTCCTTACCGGCATCTTTAGGGTTTCCTGGAAGACACTGCACTGGGGATCACACCTTGTTAGATTCGTGTCGAAAACCGTATATTTTGTTACAGTCTCTTCCTATGGCTTTTTTTCACCAGTACGTGAAGGCACATTGTTTCACTCGGACACATGAATTCAGAATTGAAGAGGTTAGGAAGTGAGCATACAGGGCTTTCCCGTCGTCATGAGTGTTCATTTGCCCGTCGTCTGGTGTACGAGACGTGGAGACTGGTCTTTACCTTGATCGTGAGCGTCGATTCTTAAGCCCTCTTCACGAAGCTCTTAAACTCCTGGCGTCTCCCCTGCACTTTTCCATCTCTGATGAAAGATTGCTCGGATGTAGCCTGATAAACATCTTAATGGGTGCAGGTACAAGCGCTTCGGAGGGAAGTTGGTGCCGGGGAGAAACCTTTACCGGAAACATTTGTTGCAATGGCTAGGTTGTTTGGATCTCAGGGTCAGGCTCTGAGAGGGACGGAGATTCTTGGCGCTATGGAAAAGCTCAACCTAGATCCCCGTGTTGCTTGGCTGGTGCTTGTGGGTAAGTCTCAATCTTTGGAATCTCAGTCTGCCGGCTTTGTGTTGACCAAGTCTGAACACTTTGTTGTGCTTGTTTCATATTTCTGTGTTCAAGAAAATGTAACGCCATGAACACCAGCAATCTGAAATCAATTGTCTATGCTTCGTCATTCCTCGATCGTTGCTTATTCAATGGGGGTAAACTCACCACTAGTCGCGAAAAGAGAAGGATTTATTTTCTCATTATAACATCCATTGGTCTCCATCTCGATCCTGGTCAAACATGCTATGTGTTTATTCCCATATTGTGACGCTCTCCGTTATATATTGGTTATGGTCTCTGGAGAATTTGTTCTGCCCGACGGGATCCTCTGTACTGCACATTAGTTAGCACCACAGTCAATTCGACAGAAAGTCTTTTTCATGTATTTGACCGTTTTACTACATCTTTTCTCTTCGTACTCATCCCACGGTTTGTTTTTCCTTCTCTTACAGCTAACGTCTCTTATAGAACATTAATAGACTTTTTTGTAATTGTTCTTTTTTTTGCTATCCAGTTTATTTCGTCGGCACCTGTGAGACGTAACACCTAGATTTGCGTCTCTTCGGTCCTCTACAAGGGCTTAACCTCCTTTACAGGCTAAGCCCTTGCGGCTCATCATGTATTTTATCTGTGTCTTTCCATCTTTGCTGACTTCCGAATTTCTTTGTAACAGAGGAACTGCACAAGGCCGGACTCTTGGCTGAAGCCAATGAGATATTCTTGAAAGGTGCCGACGGAGGTATGAAAGGAACTGTTCCTCTCTACAATCTTTTGATTGAAGAGAATGCCAAGGTTGGAGATCATGGAAATGCCATCAACATCATGCGAGCTTTGGAGTACGCCGGGTTTCAACCCACTACATTTCATTATAACTGTCTCCTCATGTGTCAGGTGAGTTGTATATCCACCTTCACATCTCAGGAGTTGGTCTTCCTCACAGTGCTCCGATTTTGTTATGGTCACGAAAATGGTCAATAGTAGCTTGGCTGCCATTCTGTACGAAGGTTTGGATCGAAAAAAATATGCCTGTAGGTCGATTTTTTTCGATGAAATTGAACGCACTCCAAGAGGATTTGTTTAGACATCATACTTGAACGAGCTACTAGGGAGATCGATGTCTAGAATTCTTAAATTCTAGCCTTAACAGACTCTGGGGTAGGAAGAGTCCCGATGTCACAGGGGGCTCACTCTAGGTTGGAAAGTAAGTACCATTTTACCGTCAAATCATACGCCTAATCAGAAGAACTAATTAGGCACCGTCTCATCTCGACTACCGTAAAGGGTCAGCGAGTTTTTTAGCTCCGTTCATTGTCTTTTCCATACATAGTTCGAAAGTTTGGGCGGTGCTGAGAGACGTTGTTGCACGAAGGAGGCGTTAACGTGAACGACTCTTTTTTGTAGGCGAATGCGAACGTCCCTGATGTTGCAGCGTCTACATTCGAGGAAATGCTTTATGGAGAAGGTCAGTCATTCTGGAAAATTCGTACCAACCTGACTTAGGCTGTAGCTTGCTTCTCAGTTCTACCTATGCCTTGGTAAGGAATCACTTAGCTTGCCAGTGTCTGGGGGTACTGTAACGCGGAAATCCTACCACTCGCTCTAAATTTCTAGTACTAGCTCAATTCGTTTGTGTACGGTGCTGCCTTGCTTGTAACTGCGTAGAATTCGTCCTGTCATGATGGGGAATTTGGTTGGAGTTTATTACCGTTATATTGTATTTATATCTTGTGTACCCAAGGCCGATAATGGGGTAAGCATTGCATCTAATTCATGCCTATTTTATTTTTTGGACGATCAGATATTGTGAAGCCGGACACAGAGTCGTATAACTGGCTGTTCCAGAGTCACATTCGACACAACTACGGAGACAGGTCAGTAAAATTTGTTTGTTTCAAGCAAGTAGGCGGACATCAGATATGGGTTTGGAACACCTTATGGCCTCCTATTTTTGGAATGCTTGTGCCTTGAAAGAGAAATGCTTTGGGGAATTGCTTGCCGCTGACCGCAATCCGGAACTTTGCTGAGTCAATGGAGCGGATAATGTTCTCTGTAGGTGCCAAGAGGTCATCGATCTTCTTGGGGAGATGATCGAAGATCACAAACGAGTTCAGCCGAATATGAGAACCTATGCGTAAGTAACATTTGTGTATGAAATGCGAACGTAGATGCAAAATAGAGCTCTGTTCGATGACAAGACTGACAACGGAAGCAAATAAAGTATTATTTCTTTTTCTTTTTCTTTCCGTCTTATGGGCAGCATTTGTCAAGAGAAGCAGAAAGTTATTCCTCGACTTTAGAACTCTGGAGAAGGGGGAGTTGTTGTGTTGTTCGGTTGTCATTGTATGCCGCGGGAAGTTGTCTGGTCGCTATCGATGGCTTGGAAATTTCCTGCCGTGCACCTGATTGGAAACAAAATTGTTTGCTTTTGATCCTCAGGCTTCTGATTGAATGCTTCACAAAGTATAACGTGGCGAACGAAGCTGTCAGACATTTTCGGGCATTAAGCCGACTTCCTGGGGGCCTGAAATACCTTCATAATGAGGGCAGCAACGGGGATCCTCTTTCGCTTTATCTACGAAGCTTGTGCTTGGAAGGTAGCTCCTCTATTTAATCTTGACTTCAGTTAACTCAGATGATCAACCTAGGACTATTATCTGGACAGTGGTGTGAAGCATCTGGTTGTTGATCACTACAGGACGAGCGTTAGATCTGCTGGAAGCCTTGGAAGCAATGGTGAAGGATTCGCAGCCAATACCGTCAAGGGCCATGATAGTCAACAAGAAAGGACGGACGCTGATTAGCTCCTGGATTGAGCCCGTTGGAGCTGAAGTTGATCTAGGTTATGACGTCGACTACATTGCTAGGTGAGGACGATGCTTCTACAGTTTGATGCTTTTACTCTGACGCATATGTGTTTGATATTCTCTTTTGCACAATGAGTATTCTACTTATTTTGAGATACATCTTCGAAATGCCAACCGCGACAGCCCTGGAATATTATTACGTGCTGACAGCCCCATTACCATCTGAGCAGATACGTTGCGGAAGGGGGTGAATCAGGAACGCGAAAGAGATGGTCTGACTCGGACGCCAGGTCTGAAGATAGCGAGGGCTTCGCTTTTTCCGCACCTATGGAAACTTCCTTTAAGCAGCATTGCATACAGATGCGGCGGAGATACACTCTAAAGCTTATTCGCAAGCTGCGGGCAGAAGGTGTGCATGCACTTGGACCGGGAGCCACAGATGCAGATGTAGTTAGAATAATGGCTAGGCTGAGAAAGGAGACGATCGGAGAGCTAGTCTTCCAGCCCAAGAAGCCTAAAGCTGCAAGCAAGATGCTTGTATCCGAGTTGAAAGAAGAGCTTGACGCTCAAGGTCTGCCCACCGATGGGACACGACCAGTTTTGTACCAAAGAGTTCAAAAGGCGAGGAGAATCAACCGTGCTCGAGGTCGACCTCTGTGGGTTCCCCCAACAGAAGATGAAGTGGAAGAGGTTGGATTTTCGTTTCCCAGTTAATATATACAGTTGCCTTGTCACAACTAAAGTTAGAACAAACTGACGACACCACACTTTATCCTGCTTTTTTGCACTTTTCAAACAATCATCAGTATTAAATGAGAGTAAGACCCAACTACATCAGGAATGTGCATACAACTCCTTTGTGATGGAATATTTACCATTCGTTTGTTTCTTGTATCGGCAGCAAGTAGAAGAGGACACCAGTGATATATTTATGGAGCGATTGAACCTTAAGAATGACAACACCGAATTTTGGAGAAAGCGGTTGACTGGAGAGGACGAACATATTGAGCTACTTCAAATTAGTGGAACCAGTTCTGGTTTCACAGTCGAAACAGATATAGAAGATGGAGAAGAGGACGATGACGAAGATGACGAAGAGGTGGAGGAGGAAAACGAGGAAATTGAAGATCTTGTGGATGACGGTGGTGAAGAAGACGAGCTTGAAGCACCTGAGCTTCTTGCCCTACAACTCTTGAAGAAGAAGGCAGACTTGGCAGCAGAGGAAAAGGTATTTGTTGTACTAAAAAATCACACGTTTCCCACGTTTTGAAGTAAGACGAGTAAGTTTTAGCATCATATAACGGCCATACCTGGCGGCAGTTACGGCATACCTTCCCTTATCGTCTTTTCGTTTTTGTCGAGAAGACAATAAGGGCGTCAGGTAGTCATGTTTGTGCACACCTGACTGAAGGGTTGTCTTTGTCGAACAGGTACACGATGAGCAGGAAGTTAAGGAAGGAGAGTGGTTGGGACTGACTTTTGAGCAGAAGGTTGCAAAGTTGAGGAATGAGAAGTATCTCGATCCAGCGGAACTCTACACGATAGCGGATGCATGGGGCTGGACATGGGAGAAAGATATTCGTGCCAAGGAGCCTGAGCGCTGGTCTCAAGAACTTGAAGTGCAGCTTGGTATGCAGATGATGCAAAGGGTAAGATATTTTGTTGACTTTTTCCTCTTGATCCTATTTTTGTGAATACTTGGTCTAGTATGCAGCCATGTGAATAAGTACTTCTTTGGTTAAGTTTGGAAAGTTCTGACGTGCAAGGATTCTACCGATAGAGTATGCATGCCAATAAGAGTGGTCTGCTATTGTGATGACATTTTTGGTGTGATTTTGATTGTCTTTTTTTCCGTCTGCAGGTCCTGGATCTAGGTGGCGCCCCAACTATTGCAGACTGTGCCATGCTAGTACGTGCAGCAATGCGAATTCCTTGGCCCGAAGCTATTGTATCTCTCATTCAGCAAACACACAAGCTCGACATAACTTTTGGAAGGTAAGACTTTAATCTCACATATTTTAAGTCTGGGATTGTACCACTAAGTTTGCTCAGTTAGTGAAACCAGAAACGCATTGGAAATTTTGAGCCCTTCGATGCTGGGTTCCTTTCTTTTTTGCTTTGGCCTTCAGGCTATGTATGAAAGGCAGATACAAATGAGTACAGTTTGTAATTTTAATCTTTACCATGGCATCGCAGCTCATATTTGTTTGTAATTTTCCGTTGGCAGTAAACTTTACAATGAGGCAGTACAACTTTGTATCACACTCGGAGAGAAGGATGCGGCCATCGCCATTATCACTGATATGGAGGAAGTTGGTATTTCTGCACCAAGTGAACTAATAAACACCGTACTTTTGGAATCCTCCACAGAGTTGGACTCTATACAGCAGATTAGCTAGTTTGTCGATCACACTGTTGCTGTTCAGGCTCAAACGTCATGAAATACTAGTAGTATACGGTTAGGCCTGGGTCAGAGCAGGTACACTTCGTTGCTTGCTTGACTTGCCTACATTTAGTTATGAGCAGCAGATTCTAGATCTCTGGATGCAAGAGGAGGCGATCAATAATTGTGTCTAGAATATCGCGTCTGTTTGCAGAGTTTTTGCCTGCGGAGACCCAAAATGTTCATAAGCTGGTCGCCCGGGTCTATCATCATAACTAGTTACTTGATTCTTTCACGGCAAGGTCTTCAATTGTTTATAGCAAGAGCATGTGTTTCCTAGAATCTAGGTTTGCAATGGGCTTGACGATCAAGTCGTTTTCTGGCCTTCCATCCCATCCAAATTGAGAGATGGGCTGTATTTCTTCCATTCAATGGCATTATAAAAGTGAAGAGTATTGATGCTTGTCCGAGAGGTTAGTTTCCTTCGGCAGAGGCTGTGAGTTTAGGGTGTCAGTGCTTTATATTTGGACGTACAAATTCTGCCTACACAATGTTGCACATCGCACAGATGACGAGAGACTGGCCGACTCATGAGGGTAGAATGTGACTTTGAAGCAATACATTCTGGAAGGAGACCGTTGTTGTGGTTATTTAAATATATACAAGTATATCATACGATTGGGAGTTCTCAGAGTGTTTGATTCAATTTGAGGAAGTACTGAAAGGTATCGAGTAGAGGCAAGAGGGAGTTTCTACTTATTTCGCTTGATTTCTGTACTTGGTGCGTACGCAAGTTCATGGTTCTGGTAAGGAAGGCCATTCTTTTCCCCTTGCGGGTAGTTGTTTCAATCAGCAAGATTGGCGCCCGGAATCGCTGAAAATCCTATGCTGGACGCGCTTATGGTGCACAATGTGCTTACGTTGCAGGGCACTTGTGCGCCTCCTGATGCCTCAACGAGGCGAAGGCGCGACAACGACGACGTGAATGCCAATTGGCACTTAAAGTTCGTTATGGTTGTTCAGAAGAGGATTTGCCTAGAGCCGGTGAGTTCTCGCCTTGCACGAGGAGTATATGTGGCAACGAATAAGCGGCACCATCGACCGAAAGCTGCCAGCCAGTGGTCCAAATCTGAATCCATCTTCATTCCAGAAGCTGCAATAGGTGGCGATTTTAGGGTTTCGAAGTGCTCTGCATCTATGGTCGTGTCTGCCACTTCCTCTTGGATCTCTGGAGAGGGCGTCTAGAGGGAGACTACCTTCACTTCTACTCACTACGAGTATGGGGGCTGCATCGATATCTCCAGGTTTCATGTAGATGTGCCCAAGCCGTCCAATTCCGACCTGCTGTTTCTCCAGCACTATCTTGATCATGCACCAACCACGTCATAAAGAGTGTTCAATAACGTGAATATAAACGCCTGCTCGCCTGTCGATAGTTGTGCTTTGGAACTAGTACTCTGCACACGAACCATCTACCTCGTAGACGTGACGTCACACCTCTGTAGTCATGCAACGCATAATGAGCTGCGGACGAGCAGTCGTATACTGGATAAAAAAGCTGAAATTCTTCATGTCTTGTTTATCACCGGTGACTCCTCCGCATGAAATATGTGTAGCTTCCAGCAATCACCTAGAAAAGTGTTTATTGGAATCACTTCCTTCTCGTTATGGACTTCATCACACGACGGATTCCGTGATTTGGGTCTAGACCAATGTCGGTCTCATCGATGACCGGCTCGATGGTTTGTTCCCATTCCATTATTCTTTCTGCGAGATTACTTGCCACCCATATTCCGGCATAGATGACATCTAGGTAATGTCTGAATGCGTCAAATACGATTGACGTGCACTGAGCTGCGCCGTTGGACAAGAGTCAAGTCTAGTTCTGGAATGAAGAGATCGACATTACCACCTCCACAGAAATACAAATTAGTCAATTCTGACTTAGGGGTGATGAATTCAGGTTCCTCACAAATTTAGACAATGAAGTCGTGGATTTATTCGTCCACGTGAGTCGTACGAAGCTTTTGATTTCAGATCCTCGCACATTCGACAGCCGCTGGAACCTGCAAGGGCGGAATCAACGACGGATGCGATCCTGCCTTCGATGGAACTCCATCTTGTGAAGAGTTGGACAGACTTCCGATTGTCGGATTGCTGCGACCACATCGCTCCCGTCCATCCGAACTTCGCGTCAGCGCGACGAGGCGGGAGGTGCTTTGTCTCTTCTGATTCGTCTTCGGAGTGTCCTTAATTCGCCGAAGTCTTCTGAGCAAGAGAGTTAACGTGGAAAAAGAAGTAATTAATGTTTAGCAGAATATGGGAAGGTCCCGTCAAGCAGGTAATAGATGGAACCAATGGAGCAATAAAGTCCAACCCCATGGACATCACAATGACAGATATTGTCAATGGCAACTAAGATGTCTTAATTATCTACGTAAAATAATCAACTAACAGTATCAGCGTTGTACATAGACTCATCTAACGTGATTGCTATACATGGAAATCATTTCACTTGTAATGCTCTCTAGACCAACGTATACGATTGTCGCTTATAGAAGCCTATAGGGCCAGTTACCAAGAGAAATCTTTATGTACACTGATACGATGTTCTTTCACACAACCTCATGAATATGTGGGAATAGATGTTCACAGTTTCATGTAACACTGAAACTAAATGACCTCTCCATGTACCTATGTCCTTCGAATTTTTATAATTTATGGCTCCGATCACAACCCATCAAGGAATAAGCTGTCACTCCATAATGTCATGCGGAAAATTTAGCAACAAATTATTTGCAAAAGTCATATGATTCTTCAATTTCAAAGTAGATGTTTATCTAATCCTAGTCAATTGTTACACATTACATTGTAGATTCAAGTTGAGTTAAGTTATCCATATTCTATTTAACTCATGATCGTAAAATTCTTAATGATGTTGGGTAGTTGCATGTACTCTCCAAATGTACAAAAGATATTATGGATCCATGTTGAATTCGAAATATTACCACTGTCACATGTGAGAAGTCAAGCGTAGCATTACCATTGTGCAAACCGAGACTTTTGTGAAGTAGAAAGCCATAAAATGATAGAGTGGAGTTTCGCGATAAATAATAAATGATTCACGAACATGCATCTTGCATGCTCGTGAATCATACTCATCTGTTAGAGCATCTTGCTCTAACAGATGAGAATAGATGAGTGTAAAGCATATTGGTTAGCTATAGGAAGTTTAAGAGAATATTAGATTAGTCATATGACAATTTAGTGCTTTGTAATCTCAAACAACGAAAGGAAAATTTTGCACTTGCAAGTAATCACATATCCTTTGACTTGCAAGGTTACGTGATTGAGTAGTACGTATAATTTGTTCAGAAATTGACTACAATAATTTAACATGTAACCTGAAAATGTTGGCCATGAGACATATATTAGAGATCCAAAAATCCTAGTTATATGTTACATAGATTACTTATAAAGGTGGAAGAGTTACTGAGAAGATATCTCATTTTGAAAGACATTGTTTTCAAATCAATATTTATAAGATTCACGGAGAGAGAATGTACAGCATATTCGACATGTGAGTTAATGAAATGAAGGTTAAGGTTATAGTCCATCAGTCAAAGACAAAATTTTAAGGGCTGGTGCTGTAAATCTAAGATTAACTAATCTTGTGTATGTTACAGTAGTAAGTTTAAGTGAAACAACCCAATATTCACGTCACCTCTACATATGAAGGACGGTAGTATATGCCTTCACAACCTGAAGAAAATAAAGGATGAGAAACTAGCCATTTATAATTAGTACATTTTTCATTTGTTGAACCGGATTGGTATCTTCCTATTTTAAAAGGTATTCTGGATTAATTAAATTTATTATAAAATTAAAAACCCTTCTAAATAAGATTTTTTTTAAATCACTTATAGCCATTTCATTTCTAAATCCAGGTAAACGTACCGTATGATGGCCTGAGACTTCTTCAAACACAAATATATGATTTCCTAGACGAAGTCATCAAATATCCATATCTACATCCCAAATCTCTTGTTATGTACTGAAAAGTCCATGTCTCGTGATATCAAGCTTGTTAGGAATGAAAAACTGATAAGAGTAATTGCACAAAGTGATAATATAAGTCCACGTGCAACACTCAGTAAAATGGACCAAACTCCACATGGGAACACTAAAGGTCATTTGGATGCATGTGGAGAAGATTGTGATGTTGACTGCGAGTGGTTTGGCGTTCCCGAAGTGGCGACTGGTTTAATGCTCGGCGAGGTCAAGGACTGGCAGTTGGAGTTCTGTGTCCTCTAGCGAGCAATAGCCGGGCAAGATGATCGACTCAAGATCTGGTCATGTGCAAGACTTCGTCCCGTAGTTCATCAAAGTTGCATCGAGCAAGAAGGACGCGGTTGTCGGTCTGCTGAACCTACGAGTGCGAATTGGTCTTCACGTGACATTCTTCTTGCCTGCAAGAGTCCTGCTATTTTCGAAATGCTGTGAATGTGAATCTCCATGTTCCAATCTGCCAATGTTTCTTTCATGCTTTCACTTTTCACTTCCTTCCCTGGGTTTCCGTCCTCTCACCTTCGAGAATGGAGCCTAAGACGCGATCAGAAGAGTTGTGTTGCAATTTACAAGTGTGTGTCTGAATCCTTACAGCACTCTAAAAACCTGATCATCCCTCGCCTCCAGCTGAATAAAGCAAAGGGCGGTTACGCTGACACAAGGTTGCACGTGAAAGCTGTTTCTGTTCAGGATAGTGCAGCCCAAAGCATTTTTTAGGTTCAGTTTTGTCCACCTCGTAATCCATGTTTTGGACTGCGAGAGCTGCAGAGAGCAAGGAGCTCAAAACTTCGAATGGAGAGTTGACATCTCCCAAGCATTTGCTCGACAAACAATGACCTGGGGGTGCCAGGAGAGTTCCAGGTTCCATCCTCTTTCACTATATATAGTGGAAGTCAAGTGATGGCTTTAAGCAATCCGACGTACAAATTCAATTCACCTCTTCTGATCACATCTTCTGCTCGTTTCCTAGATGAAGAAACGGGAGACGTGGAGATACAAAGATCTCAAAGATTTCAAGAACTAGAGGAAGCTGAAGTGGAGGACTCCGTCTCATGGGCCAAAGAAAACCTGCATACGCTGAAAGGGTGAGACCGATTCTCAGTCAGCGGAGAATTAGAAAGTCAAGATCCAGTTACGGGAAGTGTACGAGTAAGAAGGTTGAGAGGGAAAAAGTCCTGCAGATCATGAAGGAGGAAAAGGTCCTGCTGTTCTATCTACAATACACCTCCCAGAACGAACGTGGGCGACCTTCTCATCGATGATCATGGCGTCAATGATGGGAACGAGGGAGACGGGACAAACTCGAGCGCTGGACGTCGTGGATAAAGGGCATCCAGTCGCAAGGGTGATGCCTGTGCAGTAAAGGGGGATCCAACGACACCATCCCCGTCCTCGTATAAGGGAAGGCATGAGAAAAGTACGAGATGGTTTCATCAACTCTCGTCTAGTTACTGGTGTGCGTACACGCAGCGATCGATGTGGTACGTACCATGCTGGAATGTTCAATCACTCTTTCGCATAATGATATGTCAAGTACGATGTAGACCACACGAGCCGAGGATTCATGCAAAAATAACCTCAATTAAATAATGCATGTCGAATTTCCGTGGATTTTCCTCGGAATTCGCGATCTCTCGTGACCCTTGAAAGTGCCAACAGATCTCTCTCACGTACATGCTGATTGCGATGGAATAAATCGTCCCCACTGCGAACTGCATGGTCTCTTTCCCGGACTTCCTTTGCGTGGAGTTTCTTCTTACCTTTTTGGACCCTACATATACATTGAATGCATCTTAACACATATACTATTTATTCCATCCTTATTAATTTTTTTTCCCTCTAAATTAATACTAATTGTTCATTCATTATTAAAATTTTATCCCTCTCAACACAAATGCTATTTTCCCCTCATTTTTTTTAATCCCTCTTAGTGCAACTTAAGATTAATGTATATGAGATCGTAGAAAATTACACCGATGAGACGGAGTACATGAACGAAGTGACCTGACATTTGAGGGCGAAAGACGCAATTCCATATCTTTATGGGCCCCATGATTGCGGCTACTAATGCTGGGACATGTAGAGGGGAGGACTTCCATCAGGAGAATGAGCGTGATCTCATAGCTGTAGTTTTCACGTAGTCTCGAGGCTTGACTGTGGTTGTACGTACGTACAGCATTTGGTCTAATGGATCGAAGGGGGCTGACTGAATCCAGATTCCAGGCGAAGTGAGGCCGACCGTCTACAGGGCGATCGATGGGGAAAAGGTCTGGCATCGGACGGTCGGAGGGTAATAGGCTCGACCGTACGTGCGCCTGGCAGTGGACGCTTGTCATGTGGGTCCCACCGACGATGATCGCGATTCCGGTCTCTGGAGTTGCTCGATTCCACCTAAACTCAGTTCCCGGTTTTCGTGCATGCCGGACCAAGTTTACCGGCAGCGCCACTTGTTCGGCCTGTCATCCGTTTTCCCGAGGCGGACCTGCTCGAAACCCATCCGGTGCTCCAGGTCTGTTCGTGTCAACACATCGTACAGTCTTCGACCGTAGCGGCCGCTCGAGTGTCGTCTTCTCCACGACCGTCGTGTTTCTCACGGTCAGCTCGAATACTGTTCGTTGCTGTTGTCCTCGCACGAAGTTCGGATGCTAAAACTTCAGGAGACATTGCGATATGAAATTAAAAGAAATTAAAGCAAGGAAAAAATTTTGACACAGGAGGAGAAGAGAAGAGCCCCAGAGGATGTAAGTAAGAAATTTTCAGCATAGGATAAAAGAAGAAACTGCATCTTCACACTATGTTTTATTTTTTGAAGAATAACATCTCCCAAAATATAATCATTTTAAAGCGAAGCGAGAATATCAAAAGGCTAATATCAATTTGATGAATTTTCTCAATTTCACGAGAAATTTACAAATCTAAATTATGCATTTGCATTGTCGATATCTCGAGAAGATACACGATGAAGGGGGACCAATGAGGGAACGTAGTTAAAGAACAAAAGAGATGGAAGAGCCCATCAAGTGGGTTCAATCAGTCTTTGGACTATTATTTGACATCAGGTGCTGTAGCCTTGTAATCTGTCTTGCTTCACTTTCACTATCTGCTCTCGCTCACCTTGATGGCCTCTTGTCATGCTGGTTTTATTCATGTGTTAGCACTCGGGGCGTCATAATGCAGAAGGTTATGTCAAATGGTGAAGCAGAATAAGCCTGTGCTTTTTCCTGGAAACTGGATTATCAGAACTGTGATGCCAACGAGGATTTGGTTGTTATTTGCTCGCAGTAAGGTCAGCAAATTTCGCCTTTCTTTATCAGTTCGCGTCCTCTCTCGGAAACGTGAAGGAGATGAAGTCTGAGCCCGACGCCGAGCCTGTTTCCATGCGACCGTAGTCGTATGGACGACGGCACCGTCAGAATAACGACTGGGAAGAAGTCGACGGAAGCTTTAGACTTCGTCACAGAGGCGTTCGCTATATTTTGAGCAGACGTGGCGCCACATTATTCGCTCGCAGTAGCCAAGCGCTGGGCCACCATGTGACGCTCGCTGCCGAGCGGGGGCTCGGGCCCGGCGGCAGGCCTGGACCCACAGGAGAACAACGCCGGTCAGGTCCTCTGTCAACTGGCGCGGTTGCCGGTTCCGCACCGACAGATAGCGGCCTTGATAGATCGGTCAACGCCCACCCGGTCCCGGTCACAGAAGACGGGGGTCGCGGGATCTTCGGTTGGTTGGGTGCAGCGTCTCGACGACCGCCGGCAATTTGATTTCGAAAATTGGGAATAATACATCATATATACAATTCCCGACCCACACAGGCCAATAGCGTAGAGCCACGTAATAGCCACGTGGGAGTGGCACCTACGTGGAAATGAGATCTCGATCCGCCGTGGTCGCGGTTGAGAAGCTCTCTGGGCTAGGTCACGGCCGTGGATGCGACAGCAGCGTGGGGAGACGGTAATTCGGTGGGACGACGTAGGGCGGGCCGGTGAAGGCGACCGGAGCGTCTTCTTTTATTGTCAGCGGGGGAAGGAGCAGGGCAGCGGAGAAGAGAACTGCGAGCGGGCGAGCGGGCGGAGGGAGAGTCGAGAGCGTTTTGCGCACGAGGAGCTCGTTCAAAGGAAGCCGCGAGGGGTGTGTGCAGGCGCTGGAGGAGCTCCCGACGCAGCGTAGCGTATTTTGGGCGGATCGCGCGAGCGTTGTTGCGGAGTTTGGGAGTGTCCGGGTGCAGCAGATCTGGAAGCCCGAGTCGGTGCGGAAGAGGGGACGTCCAGGGTTTGGGGATTCGGTGTGAGGAAGGAAGTTCGTGTGCCAGGGCTGAGAATCAAGATCTTGAGCTTTTTGGAGGCGTGCTAGGAAGTGCAAATTTCAAACTGGAACGATATCGTCGAGGTAGTGGGGTTTGATCGCTTTAGGTGATCTAGATCTCGAGAGGTATGTCTTCGGACGCTTTTCCGGTAGAAAGCAATGGATTGAGCGAGTCGGGCAATGGTTTGTCCACCAAAGGCGCGTACAAGGACCATGGCTGGCAGAAGGTAACCAACCTCAAGAAACAGAGGCGCCAGGCTGCTAAATCGTCGACTGGAGCGGACAAATCTGATGGTTTTGAGAACGTGAAGTCTGATTCGAAAGCCTTCCAGGCTCTCGAGACCGAGGCCGAAGAACGCAGGGCTCGACGAAAGGCTAAGCTCGAAGCTGCCGCTGCTGCGGCTGCCGCCTATGGTGCAGAGTTCTCTCATTCTGGCGAGGACGATAGTGACGCCGATGAGAACGGTGCCAAAGCCAATGGTGGGAAGGATAACGCGGATGCGAAGAAGTCCAAGCCAAAGAAGCCGAAGAAGCCCAAGGTGACCGTTGCTGAGGCAGCTGCAGCGATCAATGTAGATGAACTTGCCACTTTTCTAACAGAAATTTCGGTACGCTTCTCACATGCCCGTGCTTTCGATTATGTAACGTCAGATTGAGCTGAAGTTATCTGGTGCTCGGCCTGTGTTTTTTTTAGTGCTCGATTAGGAAAGGATTGTGTCCAAAAGGCCGGATCGAAGAGCTTGAGTGGTCAGGGGCTGTTTTATTCTGCGTTCCGTGATAAGTTATCTTGGTCCTTTCAGGAGTGTCGATTAGATCATTTTCTGATTATTATCGAGGCTTTTCGAATTTTAAACTCACGGCGAAGGCCGACTTTCCTGGCGACGGGTCATTTTCTCGGTTTAATGTAGGTGTATATTGACTGTAGATCTGTTAAATGAAACGGGCCTCTTGTATTGAAGTTTGTCCAATCAATTGCAGGAATCCTTTGCAACTCTGCCCGATGTACAATTGATCAGATTGGCGGACTACTTTGCGCGCGCATTTAATCCTGTTACCAACGCTCAATTTGCTTGGAACAAGATTTTACGCGAGTCACCTTTCGCCAAGACTGTAGAGGTATGTAGGCTCGATCGTTTTCCTGAATCATTCGATTGTTTTTTAGGTGAGTCCTTGGTATGTCCATATGGCAGGTTGTACTGAAGGAATCGCAGGTCATCAATCAATAACAACTACCCTCTCGGGTAGTTGTTATTTGGAGTATTTCGTAGTTCTTCCTGCTGTCGATACACACAGTCTTTTAGCAGTTGATGAACCCAAAAATTACAGCCGGACAGTCAGTTTGTCTTGTAAATATGGTGAATGTATGGAAGAAACTTCTGGAATCAGCTCCCGGGAGTTCTCTAGGGGCTCCAAGTAGATCTTCTGCGTTTGGAAGCAAAAGTTGATTTTATATAAGAATGGCTCTGAACTGGACATGAAGAAATCTGAACTGAAACCTGAAACCTGGAAGTACTGCGAGTTAGTTATGTTCAGGACAGGACGAATGCCGACATTCGTGAGCTAACGAACCATGTTTGTTTGCAGATCCCTTTATGTTACATTCCGGAGCCAGTGGCCAAGGTGACATCCGACTGGCTTGCTCAAAAGCCTGCTGATGCTTTGTCAAAGTTCGCTTTCTGGTTGTTGAAAGAGATACTCGATGAGCCGCAGCAACAGCACCACAAGGGATCTAAAACAGTGGCTGCACTGCCAACAAAGGCCAAGGTGCGTGTTTTCGTTTTTAACTATAGGTGAAACAGGTCCGATCTGCACCCGCTGTGCTTGAGGGTTTGTTGGAATTTTGAACTTTCAAGAGTTACTGACGCTAACGCTCATTGCAGGTTGGAGTACTTGTGATCCTAGCTTTGCTGGTGCGGAGAAAACCTGAGGCTTTCTTGCAGCAAGCTTCCGCTGTACGGGCACAGTTTGTGGGTCAAGAAAAGCTGCACACCTTAGCTTGGGTGTATGGCCAGGTTGGTGAAATAGCTCATCTTTTGATTTTAGACCGCCGTTGATGTAATATTGTTTTGAGATGTGAGTACGCTGTTCATTGATTTGTGCCAAAAATTTTCCAGGCCTTGCAAGGTGATTTGGTCGTCGGGATGGCCTTGTGGGTACAAAATCTGCTCCCCTTGGCCGTAGGAAAGTCCAGCACCCCTGCTTCACGGGATATTGCCTTGCAATTTATTGAGAAGTAAGACACACTTACCAGTGCTTACATTCACTTTATTGCAGTTCCTCTTGCTGTATGTGGGCGTTTTGGTTTATTGTTGCGAAATTAATCGTGCCTTGTAAATTTTCCAGTTTACTTTTTGCAAATACGAAAAAAGCACGGACCATTCTGCTAAATGGTGCGACTAGGAAAGGAGAGCGACTTGTGCCTCCAGCTGCGTATGAGTTAGTATTAAGGGCTGCATATCCCATCGAATCAGCAAAGACGAAGGTACATCGGCCTCTCTGATAATGTACTTGTTTCATGCTGGATTGCGAAGATGTTGCAATGGCTTTCAACGTTCAAACAGAAATGCTTGTGGACTCCCTTTGAAGGTCAGGTTTTCGAGACCAAGTCCAGATTTTAACGTAGGAAAGTGTCTTGGTACAGGCCACAGAAAGATTTCTAGCAATCTATCCTCTTATTAAGGAGATTGTGTTGGCCGGAACATCTAGAAGTAAAGCTACAAAGCCCGTAGCCCAACAGCTTTTGCCCCTCAGTCTCGCCGGTGCAGCAGACGGTATGTAGTCTCGAAGCTTTCACTCTGTACTTGAGTGCCTTGTCAAGTATTGGTTTTTCATCTAGACGTTGTTTGTAACACCAGTAACTCATATTATTCATTAGTTGTCATATTAGTGTTAAGTTGTAATGTTGTCTTTGCGTGCTGTGCTTTCTTAAGTTCACTGTACAGCGCTGCTGAATAATTTCGCAGGTTCATAGTACCGAGTTCTTTCTATCTTCGAGAGTCCTTTTCCTCATGTCCTTTGAATTCTGTGTCTGGAGTAACACGTACTTGTGTCTGCATTGTAGATGTGCCCGCCATTCAAGCGGAAGCATGCGGAAACTTCGTCTGGTGCTTGTCACAGAATGCTGACTCTTACAAGCAGTGGGTAAGTTGTATGATTCTCTATTTCATATTCTACTGCTCTCGTCCAATCGACGTTTCCACTCCTGGAAAAGACTTGGCTCATTTCATTTCTCAGTACTTCAAATTGCCAAACCTTACATGTGTCGTACTGTTTACAGGAAAAGCTTCACCTTGAAAATTTGAAAGGAAGTACGCGCATCTTGAATCATATCAACAATGAATGGAAGGATACGTCCGCACATCTGATACCTCTCGACGACCTTAAGAAAACCTTGCTGGCTTTATCTTTGAAGGTAAGTCTTGTTTCGGCTGGTCTCCCTACTACCCTTCGCGGTGTTTTGCTTCCGAAGCTGTGCACAAATTCTTGCTTTGTGACGTTCCTAGTTTTAAAGGATCCATGGCCGATGGGTGAACATGAGTTCTAACAACGTTGGTCGCCCTCCACGTCCGCAGCATCGTAACGGTATGGAATCTGCAGAAGGGGACGCATTGTTGGAATCACAATTGAAGGCTGCTGAGTCAGTTTGCAAGTCCTTATTAAGAAAGACTTCCCGAGTTCCGAGTTGCACAAAGGCAGTGGCGACTCTCGCTGTTTGCGCTGGTATCGGGTATGGGTTTTACCTAATCAGTCCGACTGTAAATCCCTGGGACTGGGATGGAAAACTTCTTCTGAGCAAGACCCACTCGATGTTTTAAGGATTACGTAGTACGTTTAAATCATACTGATCAGATTAGCGACGCCAACATTGGAGGTCAGTATTCATAGCATGCTAAGAGCAAGCAACATTTTTTTTATTGCTCCTGGGAAGAAGTTGGAGCCTTAATCTCAGTAGTCAGTCAACAGATATTCACGCACCATGAGTCAATCACTTGGATCTGCACAACCTTTTTGGACGCTGGGGTCAGTCCAGGATTTTACCCTGGTTGTAACTATAAGGGAATGTTTCCCACTTTATTGTGGGCTGCGAACACTGCATAGGTTTGTTCCTGCACTGCAGCAAGTGGAGAAGGCAGTTCATGCCATTTATTGTTGAGCTCCACGAATTTGACTAAAGATTGCAAGCAAGACGTTTGTAACCGAGTGTTCTTCCGGTCTGTTACGCTGTTCATATTATGCGTATCTAGTCATCACCCTTGTAGGGATTGGAAGACAATACTGTCCTGGCAAAGTCAGCTGACAGTTTCTCAGAGTGTTCGTTCGTTTGAGACCTCAATCAAAAATGTATGCCGCAATCTGAAGTCAATTTTGTCAGTAATGTATAATGTGGAGATTGCAGAGCTTGAATGCCTCCTCAGTACTGCCGGTCTAATTTTTGTAACTGTTTTTGTAACTGTAATAGTTGTGCTATCGAAACTTCTATATAAAGTCTCTCGTACATAAAGTATAGCTCGTCGTTCCGAATGAAATTGAGCCGTGGGCAAAAATGCCTGTATTTGCTGTACCTGTGTGGCTGTATAACTCTTCCCTGGCAGTACTAGCCAGTACGAGGCACCTCAGACAATCACCCAATTAGTCTCATGTCGGGACAAGGAACACGTGATGCAATTAGTAGCAATAAACTGATTCACGTGACACTGTCGGGAATGCCGGTCTGCCTACAGTGTAACGCATTGGAGTGTAAGATTTGTCAGAAGATATGTGCCTTATGTCAAGATCGAGGCGTGAGCGGCTCTAGGTAAATTATAGCATAGCAGAGTCCACACACTCATACAAGGCACATTAGCTCAAGCATTTGAGCGTGAAGTAAATGCCTCTACTCGTAAGGCTTCCAACCACATTTGTGCACTGTGAAGGTGTACATTGTACTTCCAAAATTAGTTAATCTAAAAAATAAAATATGATAAATGACATGTGATATAAAAATATTCACGAAAAAAGTTACCCACAGATTGCCATTGTCGGTCACATGTCATTATGCTCTATTAAGTCTTTTGATCCGATGGCTCACGTAGCGGTTCAAAACTGAATAATGAAGGAACTCATATCTGATGAGTACTCTTGTGGAGAAATTTCCTGTTTGGCCGTAGTAGAAGAGGAAGTCTCCACCAATGACAACTCTATATTTTTACGGTCTTCTCAATCAAGACTTTTTCAAAATTGCAACCCATAATCCCGTAGCCTTTTTTTTTGTTCGATGCCCAAGCTAACAGGTATGATTTAACAAAATTTTAGTAAGCTCTGAAAGTCAACAGATGTTAGAGCGCCAGTCTTTCCTCTATAATCTTAGCATATTTGACTTTGGAACAAAACAAATCGCACTTTACAATGAGATATTAATTCTTTTCTGCTGCTTTGTGAGATCAGTTAAATAATTTTTTTGTTGTTGATGTAATCGACTCCCATTTACAAAGTATTTAAGATAGAATCTCAGATGTGTTTTTATATCAATACAGGATTTCGAGAGAAAAATATGTTAAAAAAACATAGAATTAAGCAACCATATTATATCAACTTGAAGTTTGAAGTACGAATATTTTTTACAGAATTATTCTAATTAATAAATAATTATTTTTTTGTAAGATGCGTAAGTTATATATAAATCTACATTTTATTGACCTGTGACTAACTTACAAATCAATAAACTGTGAATTAATACAATATATATTTTGAAAATGTGTGATGTTTTAAAGGCTTCAAACTTCAGATGTTGTTAAACTTCAAACATTCAACATTCACTTCAAACATTTCATATAAAGTGTGTATCTTCTTCTTTCGATTTCTTGAAGACAATGGCCCAAGATAAGTAGTCAGTTATATGCTCAAAGCTAATTTTGAGGACCAAAATTCAACCCAAAAAGGTTAGTAGTTTTATCCTTTTCCCTTTCTGGTTGTTGTATTTGCATATCTACTCTCATCGTTGCCCTCCCAAGTCACAGCTGGACTCGAGCGATACTCGTCGTCGATATTCTCAACGCACGGTCACTCGTTCGGTAGTTGTCGACTTGCTCCCAATCGAGAGATCGCTGGAGCAAGGGCAGAGTCGCGGGACGAGAATATGATGAAAGGGACGAGTTTCTTGATGGGTTCTTGATTGATGTTTGTTTAGGGTGGTTTGGGTAAATTTCAGTCGAGCCATTGATTCCACTTACCCTGACCTAAACCTGAGCCCATCTCCTCACTCACTCGGTGTGACAATACAGTATTTCTGGAGCTGCGATTTCTCCTCATTCATCTCGGAAGATGATGCGACACGCACGTTTCTTCAAGACATGACCTTGGACCACGAATCTTCCTCGTGGCTAGTCGATCGTCTACTGACACGTTGTTGAGTTTTCATGCAGAGGAAGGCGTCGCCATTGCGAAGCGAATCACCGGAGGGAGTATCAACATCCACATCATGCTCCATGATCTGTAGACTCGGCCTTTTCATATCCTCAAGCCTCGTTAATTCCTTGTTATGTCAGAACCTATCTCAATCCTGCATTTTCGCATCCATTAATCATTGACGAAACATCTTATCTTCTTCACCTGTACGTTGTTAGAGGTTTCCGCTGTCCCTACTTGAAAGCATGAACGCTGATTTGCAGTTTCAGTTTCGGTGCAAAAGTGCGAGAAAGATTGCATGCCACTCAGCTTATCAACCCAAACTTGTACCCACTCATTGGCTGAAAGGTGGGATCATCCATCTAGTGAATGTTCGTTCGTTCATGGTGGGTGACAGGGAAAAACTCTTAAGTGGTGTGATCTATGAGTTGGGCGCTGGAACTGAACTAACACTGAGGTGTTGGTTAGTGGAATGCTACGGCAGTTTCTTAGACGCAAGGGTTGAAGAACGCGTTATCGAATTTTTGTCGGCTTGTTATCCTCATCCCTTTTGGGTTACTGATCCATCTTCCTGGCGGTTCCAGGCCTGACCGTCAGTCATGTCCTCCGTTATACGATCGTAATGTTCTGAATATTTTGATAACATCATTTACACTAATTATTTCACGTCTGAAATAAAAAAATCATTTCATGTTGTGGTTTTTGATTAATATATGGAGAGTATTGTGATTCTCTCCTCCTCCCCCTCCCTCCTGCTTTATTATCTCCATGATGTCATCATATTCCCAACAGAGTTTATGAAAATGTGATCCACCACATCATCCCTCCATCACCTTGCATTCGTGTAGAGAATGTTGGATGAGAAGGAATAATATACAGGTTTAATAGTGGGGACAGAAGTCCAATTTCTTGGTGTCACGATGTCGTTCATGTTATAAGAACCTACGCTCAAAAGCTCAAAAGCTCAAAGGGATTCAAGCCGCATCTATCCAAATATTGGTCTTGCGCTAACATTCGAAGAGAAAGAGAAATCGTGAGTGAAGGGCCCCAGCAGGTTCCAATATTAGCAAAATCATAGTTCGTTGGAATCAAAGCCTATGAAGATCTGAATCAAGAGACCATGATGTCGGTCAAAGAAAACAAACCTTCAGTCTGCAACTTCTTCGTACATTCTTCATGGGAAACGGTGCATTTGTCTTACATTCTAGTGCTTTTTATCATACTCGACTGTGAAGGAAAGTCGATTATAGTTAACAAATTAGCAGAACAACGTTGTCTTTTTCGACTGTACAATATGCATACGTGAATGATGTGTAACAAAAGGTCATGCGTAAGTTATTCTAATACTATCGGTGGGCTTCGTTTATCAGGTAAAAAGGTGAGCTTTTGGCTAGCTCTAGAGGCTCATCTTCAGGATAAAGACTGGAAACAATGACGATTACTAGGAGGACGCCCACCGAAAGTGAGAACCAGATTCTTCCACAACGATGTAAAGGAGGTGTTTTACTTTTGGCGTGATGTTTGGACAGGTTATCGACAAAAGCCATGGATAAGATAAGAAGAAAGTCTAGATAAGCTAGTTCAGCAACATACTGTGCAGTATTGCACGATCATAACAGTTGAGTGTGCATGATTGTGGTGACGGTGTCGATCGAGCCTTGTAACGCCTGGTGTGGTAGGCTAGGAGGTGCGTTTCACTCTACGAAGGTATGCAAAGTGTACCGTAAACTCAGCGAAACGAGGTTTAGGCTTCATCTGCTGCAAGTCAAACTCGGAGTCAAAAACCTTGTCAGTCACTTGGAACACAAATATGCATCATAAAATTATATGTATTTTCAAAGGAACATGAGAATGTAGCAAAATAGTAAACGACCTATAAGCGTTCCTATGCTTTGACATTTTTCTCGTGGTAGATTGCCTTCCCAATATGGAGTTCTTACAAACAGATATACCAGAATATAGTATAAAATGGACAATGTAAATGTCGGATGCAAGACTGTTTATAAAACCTACTGTACTACCGTGACATTGGAACTCAAAATTTTCTATTGATATATATTGGTATATATAAAAATTATTTACAGGGGTTTCTATGCTTGATATGGGTATCGTATGGAACTTCTCGATAGCTGCAAGGTTTCAGATTCTTCCAACATGCTTCGCACCTTGGTGCACATAGTGATACCGCCTTTGACACCAGACGGAACTATGTCCGGTTAACGATGTTTTACAAAGGATTAGCTCGAGCATCCGTCGGCAACAGCTCGTGGAGAGAGACAAGGTAGATATGATAAATAAGACATAAAGAAGTTGAAGATTCAGATTATAATACTATTACTTTCTACCGTCTACGAGTTTAGTTCTAGAAGTTCATTTTCTCCTCAAAGTATCAGACAAGAACTGGTCAAAGGCTAGGCACTTCCTGGTGAAACTGTTTCATGCATTTGGATTTCATGCATGCCAGAGAAATTGCAGTCCTCGTCCTCTGCACGACCTTGCTTGAAAGAAGGTGATACTCTGCTGTGACCCACCACGTCAGATTTCACACAGATTTCATTGTCAATCACTGTATAAACAAAACATGTTGGTCCTCTGTGCTCACAAAAGACGACGCCTTCAGATATGGGATGTTCCTTGACTCTCCCCCGGAAGAAGAGTTCATCTCTGACTAGCACCGAAGCCTCAACATAAATTTGGTTGTCCATAGATTTGTTACCGAGCAACACACTTGACAAAGATTCGCCGTGTCTAAACCTTACAGTGGGGTCTTGTCAGTAATAGTCGATGAGCGCTTAGAGAATCCGCCAGTTAGGTTGGCTGTTTGTTTCATCCATAACTGTTATTAGCCAGAGCGTCAATACGTTACAATAAGTCTGGTCTATGAAATATATCATATTCTATGTTTGTCTAAAACCAGACCTTGTCTTCTTGCAAAACCTGAGGCGTAAAATGGGTAAATTCGAAGGATATGAACCTGGTTGTTACCTATGTTGCGTGGAAGATCATATGCACAAGCATACAAACACATTGTAAACACTATATCAAGCCATTAGTAGCCGTACACAACGGTCCAGATATGCGAAGGATGGGAGAGTTCAAGTCGCAAGAAGGTTAATGGTAGTTGGGAAACGGACGGCCTCAATGTTAGAAAGCCGAAAACATGCAGTTTTAGAGAAGTTGGAAAAGTAGCTGGCAGGTTTTACATTACTCTCGAGTTCGGTCAATCGATCTTCTAGAAGATTTGACAAGAAGGGAAACTTGAGAAAACAATGCAGACAGAAAATGTAAGGCAATCATGATATCTGTAAAAGCACAAGTATCTTGAAGCAAGGATTTAGGGTTATCTCACCAATCATATGTATGTAGAACAAATCAGCACACAAAGTCGAAATAGTGTCTTGGCAAGTTGGATAAGCTTTGAAGAAAGATTGCTCTCTTTGGGACACTGCTGCTCTCATGACCTTCGTGAACTATTTTAAGACCCGATATCATGCCTTTTTCCCCAAACCTTTGACGGGTGAATATGAAGTGAAATATGTCATCTGTTCACAAGATTTGCTTGAGCCGATGTGTTGAATATACTAGCCGACGTTCGACCACGAAGGAAGGAAAGAAGAAATGAGGACAGTTCCAGCTTCAGTAAATGTCGGTCACTCCTGCACGAAGTTGGGACTAAACAGCACATGCTGCATGCAATGAAGCGAGAACAATCAATCTTTCATTGAAAAATCAGATTCCGCCAGTATTTTACACTGGTGAACTCTGCCCATGGGTTGGAGACAAACCAATGATACGTCCCTTTTGCTAGTGGCGTAGATGCGTATTCTGCCCATTGCCTCCGATCGTTGAGCCTCTCTCTGTCATGTCTTGGGACCTGATGCGATGGTCTTTACTGGATAACATGGAGTCTCCCTGGCACTGTCTAATAATATTAATAACTGCAATGTCTGACTATGTAAAGGCAGTCGCAGTATGTTCTCTTTCTAATAAGAGCATCAACGTGTAACGAAGACGACACTTACGAAATGTCAGGCCAACAATCAATCAGTCAATCAATCAGCAACCAGTGTAGGTGAAAGAGTCATGCAATTGAGCGAATTCGCTCGCATTCTTCGCTGTTACACTTCCTGCATTCCCATATTAAGTCAGCACATGGGAGGTCGCAGGGTTCAAGGTAACGAGAAATATATCTCCTCGACTCTGCGTGCACATATTGTTCCGCGTACAACGGACCTTTCATAAGAGGTCAAAGTTCAATGTCTCAGCAGACAGTAATGTCTGCCAACATCTCGTTTGATAGCGGTCAACTGTCTAGAGCACGCTGAGATCCTTCTGGACTAGGACATAAATTGCCAGATCATGATCAAATTAGACCTACTCGGGTCTGGACTCTGGATCGATTTCTCAAGTTCTCACTTTCACGGGAGGAGAAGTGGATCCGACTGCTCCCTTCAGACAACCTGAATATGCCACGGAGTAAGGTTCGTATACCGAACAGTCATCGATCGATCTACATGCCAGATACACGAAACACGAGGAACATCAGGGCCAGTGTCTGACAGTGACTTGTGTCGCTCTTGACGAATGCGAGCATTTGGCGGGAACAGTTCCATCGGGGACATGCTTGCAACGAACGCTACAATCGGATGATGCTGGATCCCCGAGCGATCGTATGCGCCGGGACATGCAAACTCTTTTGGAGTGACACATCCGACTATCCGACACTTGGTGACGTCGATCGACACAGCTTCCATCGCACCGAGCTCAACTTGCTGCTGGAAACATGGAATCGACACTCGCATTTTGTGAGCCTCACCCCGACCTTCACCCTGAGCCACAACGCGATCGTCGATCGTGTCGAATGCACAAGTGGAAGGGAAATGGTCTCGCCTCCGCCATGCGATGCCACTATTCATCGTCCACTTGTCCTTTTAATTCTCGACGCTTCCATCGGCCACCGTTAAATTACTGTTATCACTGCCTCTCCTTTGACTAACTAGTAAGGCGATTATCTTTCTCGAGAGAGAGAGAGATGAGACTTATGAATGAATATTTTCCTCCAACGATGAAAGCCTTGAGTTAAGTCGACGAGGCTCTGAAGTACCCACTCCTCATCTGCAAATTCAACAGAAGGCGAGGGTTAGTGGAATATTCTCCAATGTTCATGAGTTGAGACACTTGTCACGTCTGTGCAACGTCTTGTAATGAAAAGCTAACAAAGAAAATGCTCCTTTAACGAAAAGAGCATTTGCGATGTTAACCTCAAAAGCATATATGAACAAAAATAATAATTGCTCAAGATATTGAAGTACCGTCTTGTATTAAGATGATTGAAAACAGTCAATGTATAGCAACTTGAAACAAAGATAGTTAATGAGAATTTGTTTTAATTATTGAAAAAGGTCGTGGATATCGTATTGAAAACTTACAGAAACACTTCCTGCTTTCTTATTAAAGTACTTTTACCTCTTTTCTATTATGTCCTTTTGCCAAGAGTGTTATTGTAGATATAGTAACTGTGCAGCTTTGCTATTCTCCTCGATTTGTAATGCTGAAGTCATGTATTTGAGATTTGTATGCAAGGTCTGTAGAGGGGTGGAGAGGGGTTATTTCTCCTGTAGGTACTATTATTACATATAAGAGATGATTGCGTGACGAGACAGGACATCAACTAATGTTTTACTACTCTCTCTCCATCAATCGGATCAGAGAGTTACAAGCTACCTTGAAGTATATGAAGTTTTGGTAATCTTTACACTTTCTCTCGGTGGATTTGGCAATTCGTTGTATCACACGAGAATGCAGCCTTGCTCGAGCAAGAGAGATTTTGTTCAAATTTTGGTTGGCTATGCGTTTGGTTTTTCTTGCTTTCAATTACTTAGCTTTTCTTCCAGGATGAAGCCAGACTTGGTTTTGTACTTACATTTACACATTTACGATGTGATTGTGGTACCACCATCAAACTAGATTCATAGAAATCTTTTATCCATTTATAGAATACATATGATAGCTATGACGGTACAATAAATTATGATTTTTTATATGATACTGATATATACAACTGTATATAGTTTTTATGTTATATTTTTAATGTGGGCAACAAGTAAAATGACAATCGATGGTTTTCAAAAACTGGGATGTGTACACTCGTCACATATTATAACTCTAGCAATAACATCACAAGGAGATGTCTATAGTTCCACATCTATAGACACCCACTTGGAAGATGTTTGAAGTAAAACATTGAGTATCTATTTTCTATCATAATATTCTACTTAACCTTTACTGTAAATATCAGTTATTGGTGTAAAACATCAGAATGATCACATAGGCACAATTCTGTAGAATTTTCAATATTATGTAGCTAATCATGACATGTTACTTGTTCTATGACGTATTTCTCAATGGAGTTAGAATAACCCCACACCCTCGGTTTCATATAATTACATTCACGTGTCTTACCTCTTTCTTTCAACTCGCTATATAAGTCCCTCCCGACGTTAAATACAACTCGTAACTAAAAGAACTAACGGACTTTCAGCTGAACTGTTGGCAAACCAATGTCTCTTCGACTTCTGGCTTCTGGAGGAGCGACTGTTCATCATTCTAAAAGCAGTAAAAGATTTTCTCCGTACGTGAGCGCAAGCTTTGACTTTTCATTCGATCTGCACGTAGTTGCTGTATTCCTCATGATTAGCTCGCGTCAAATTGACCTAAACTATACCAATGTGTTCATTAACATGGTGTGCAAGGTCAAAAAAAGTAAATCTAAAATAACTAAATATGTTTAATTTTAAAAAGGTAAATAAGGATTGAAGATGTAATATATATTATTTTATCTCAGATATATCATTTCGCCATTCTATTAATTTCAAAAATCCCGTGTAAAATACCCACAAGGATATCAATGGATCCTTTGATTACATCTTTATCACAGTTGTATTAAAAATCTATTAACGTAGCGGAAAAAAAGTAAGTTGGAGCTTCAGACGTGTCAACACCGAACGGATAGCCATTGGTAACCAAGTTATGGATTTGCAATAACGAGGTGCAGATCTGATCAGAAATTTCGTCCGAGGTCAAGAACGTGTGCCTTGGATCGATCGATACTTACAATTCGCTCCTCCACGTGGTTCTGAAGATTTTTTAGCTCGAGACGTGTACTGCACAGTAGCGTGTCAAAAGTGAAAGAGGCTAATCACGGTACGAAAATGGACAATTTAGTGAAGGAACAATTTGGAGAATGCCGGAATAAGGGATTAGATCTACTGTGGGATCGATGTGAACGTTTGTGCCGGTGTTCCGAGTTGTGGTCTACGTTCTCCTCTGGATCCGGGCGGAGGCAGGCATCGTGCCGACGACCATCCATCGGTCCATTGGTCCGATGCCTGATCCCCGAGGAAACGAGTTCCTCTGAAAAGTTCGGCCTTACCGACCGCGTCGTGTGTAGTGCAGTGCATGGCCGTGGCTGTTCTGCAAACCTGTTCTCGGGCCTCGCTCGGACTTCCGGTCCCCGTGAAGCCTCCTGAAAGCGAAGAGTCCGGCCTCCGGCGCCCGGCCGCAGAATCGTAACTGCCAAACGCGCCGGGTCCATCTGCTGCGTCGCGGCCACTGACCAGCCTTGCGGGGCCGGGCGCCAAAGAAGGCGAAGAGCCGAGAGTGGAGTCGACGGAAACATATATACGGCATATTGACGGAACTGGAAGGCATCACGCGAATGGATCGCGAGTCTTGGCGCCTGGCCCGCTGTCCAGTCATGTCCGTCTTGCAGGAGCTGGCACGCGGAGAGGGGCACATCGTGCTCACTCTCCGGCAGCCGCGTCCTCGCATCTCCTCGTCCGAATCGTCGGATGTCCGAGATACGGCGGATAATCGCAAATACGTTCAGCGCTCCGGCCGTCTCTGCCTCCGGTCCGGTCCGGAGCGCGGCCCTGGCGCACGACACGGGCGGCGAAAGAAGGCCGCGGGCGACGGGAGCGGGGGGAGCGGGGAGGAGCCCCGCGCCCGGAGTTGGGGAACTGGGCGCGACTGGAGGCCGGGCGCAGCAAGGAATGGCACGGCGGAGCAATTGCTTGATGAGGAATTGCGGAGTGCGCCACTGTGGGGAAAGGTGCATAGAAGGAGCAGGCAAGAAAGCAGGATCATGGCGCTTCGTGCTGCTCGTGAGGAGAAGGAATCTGTGAATGTGAGCGGGATGGGGAGGTTTGACATTCGGCGCGGCTTGGGGGTGGTTTGTTTTAAACCACGCAGGAGGACTTTGGCCGATTTTTAATTGTGTGGGCGAGCCTTAGTTCGATTGCAGCCCCTCGTCGGCGGCCGATCGATCGCTCGATCGCGCGCTTCTTCTTTTCATGTGGATCGATCTTCTTGTTGTTTGTTTGGTTTTGCATTGATTGGTTCGTCGTCGACTGCGTGATTGCTTGGTTGCTTGCGTGCGTGCGTGCGTCCGGCCGAGCTTGCTCTGAGCCGCGGAGGTCTGTGAGTGCGTGGATTGGCTCGGGACTATGAGTGAAGACGATCTGTGACTCGAGAGGCAGGCTGGAAGACGAGAACTTGGACGAGGCGGACGGGGCCGAGAGGCGGAGGAATGTTGTAAATTGCGGAATTCCATGAAAGTTCGACATGATTGGAAATGCTGTATACTCCCTGAAGTGCGCTTCTCGGATATATGATTTCTGCGTGACGTTCCTGAAAATATCGGAGATCAATGTTCCTCTCCAGTCGAGATCGTTTCCTTCGGCTGGAAGTCCAGCTGGAAGTGGAAGACTCGCCAAGCGCTGTTTGAAACTCACGGCGCTGTATGGCACTGGACAGCGGGAAATTGGTGAATTTGAGGTGGTGGGAGATGAATGTGTCATTGACCACCAGCTCAACTACCAAGTCTATCCATCCGATTCAGCAACCGTCACTAAACTCCATGTCTACGTAGGTGAGTGGCCAAATTGGTACTGGATACGCGCGAAATTCGATTCCTCGAATTGTGCAATAATCGCTTAAATCCTCTCTTTCCAGATTCAAGCTTCGATAGTGGTCAAGAAATAGTTATAGGACGTAAGATCGTCAATCTTGAAGTCGTTTCAAATCACGAATTGAGCATGATCGATCAGTGCTTCCACAAGAGTGAAATCTATGGTCTCCGCTGCGTCATTTAAGTTTCTTAATTGGGTCCAATGCTAAATAAAATTCGTTGTCCACATGTTCTTCGCGGGCGCTTCTTGGGGATCACCTAACAGACGAGGTATTGAGCATTCTGAGTTCCATCTTTGTAACAAAATATTCTTCGTTGACCTCCTAAAGAGCTTGTACTTGACGTGAAGCGTGTCATGAGCTCTTTCAGAATGAAGATGAAATTTTAGTAGTCCGGCTCGACACATGTTGCAGTACTTCGGCGACGTTAACATACTAATGCCAAAGTAAATTTGTCCTCACAGGCGTGCAGTTATGGACTGACGGGTCACGTCACTGTTGATCTCAAGGAGGTAAAACCCCCGGTTAAACAATTATTGTTGAACAACTCCCGACAATGAGAATGAGAGAGAGAGAGAGAGAGAGAGAGAGAGAGAATTGAATCAGCTTCTCTCGACTTATCTATTAGAAACTTCGTTCAGAGCGTGGACTAACAGGAGTGTGTTGCGCCAGTTTCTGCTGTTTCCGAATTTTCCTCTCCTCTCTCTCTCTCTCTTACCCTTTCGGACTTTTGTATTGTATATTTGAACGTATATGGGAGTCTTTTCTGTGTCGATTTTGTAAGTATCGTTATGGTTTCCATCAACATGAGACTTGTCATGATAGAACCACTGAATGATGAACTTTTTCAACATTCTTGCAGTTCATTGGAGAACATGATTCAGAAGTGTACTTGGAATACCCGCTAACTCCGAGCAGCCCGCGCCATCGCGCCGCAAAGCTGAAGGTACTAGCATTCATACAGTGGTGGGAGTACCCGATTAGGGAGTACGTGCAGGCACCACATACCGTATTCAAAGATACCTTTCGGATTATAGCATATGTCGTTGTATGCTATCATTGCTAGTACCATCGACGTAGAGATTGTTCAATGACGGATCGTACTGATGCAGCATGACAGTCCGTTGCATTCTGAGGACTAAGCCCCACGAAAGTTCATGGTGTATATGATCTGATTTTTTGATGGCTGCTGCGCAGATCGTGGTGCGTTGTACATTTCCTCCCCCTGAAGAGGATCCCGACTTGGACTTGGAGACCTTCCTCTCTGACAGCTTCCCACACAGGTACAGTAGAAAGGAAACGAAATGACGAATTCTTTTGAGTGAAATTGCACCTTTCCAAGTAGCGTGAAGGCTCATGTTCTTCTTCGGTGGGATTACAGCGACTCACACCGCATTCCAGAAGAATCTGAGGTTAAACATCTTCTTCCTGGGTCGGAGTTTGGATCAACACAGATCAACCCGGATGAGATTCGTCGACAGGAGAATGGCACATTGGATCAGACTTTGTATCAGGTACCAACATACCATGATAGAACCTGAACTGGGTAGCATATGACTTTTGAATTTATTTTCTCATGACTTCCTGCTGTTCGACCTTTCAATTATGACCGGGATGCTTCTTCAATTCGTTTGTTATTCCTACTTCTCCTGTTCTGTGTACCCATAAATTTTTCACGTACTTCTTGCTTATCGCTAATTGCAAGTAGAGGTAGCTGACATGACTTCCGTATCTCCAATTTCATCTGAACTACAGTCTTCACTAACTTGGGAAATATGAAACACGGATGGTTCACTCAACATTTTTGTCTTTTCTGTAGCGATTCAAATTTGTTAATCCAGTCAAATACAGCTCGAGCTTACGAAGACTGTATTGGTGGTTTTTCCTCTTCCAGGCGAAGACTCTATGCATACAATCAAAATCAGAGGTCTGTAATCTATTCCCGAATCAATATTACGAACAATTTCCTTTGACCCATTTATTATCCATATTTTTCTTCCGAAACTCAGTTCAGATCGTTGCCTTTCAGATTCACCTCTTGAAGGATTTGGAAGGCGATCTTCTTGGCCTCAATTCGAAGTTACAAAAGTTCGTCGCAGAGTACGCACGATCAAAGTCGGTCTTTGGTACGTCAGTCGCTTCCTGTAGCTTGATTTTTCATTGTTTCTGTCCCGCAACTCCAAAATTCTCTATTCTCTGCTTTTTTCTTTATCAAAGAAGACGATTTGTGAAAGTTTCTTTAGTTGCTGTCGAGCTTTACACTCACGTAACGCCGCTCTCACGTGCAGGACAATATAGGCGGGAAAGGGATTCCACTCCACTGAGTAAATCTGATTTGCAAGCAGCTATTTTTTTTGCTGCTGGTGTTACCATGCAGCAGCGCCTATACGCGTTACAAGCTGCTTCCGTCTGCTCCCAACCATTAGTCGAAAAGCACGGCGCACCTTTCACCAAAAACTCTCTGATTCTTCTGAGATCCAAAACTGAAGATTGTGATGTATTACCTGTGATAGGTCCTTCTCCCGAAAAGGACCTGGCGGAGGTGACGATTTCTTTTGCTAGACTTGACCAGATGAACCATGTTCTCACAAAATCATGCTGATATGGTGCTCAGGAATTAGCGTCTCGCTCCACATTTTCTGCTTTATATCGACCAGCAGAAAGCCTACTTAAGCTTATTCTATTTGTTCATACTTTCGAATAACCTTCGATTACTGAAGCATGAATTGGAACTTTTATGGATAATTAGGTGGTCACATTCACCGAAGAGAACCTCTTGGGACTAAAGACGGAACCCCACTCTGAATCTTCTTCATCGTCATCCTACAGCAGTGGTGCAGGTGAGGGAAAGCAAGAAACTATTGTCACAGTATGTGTTTGCATCAATCTGAGCTGTGGGACCAACGGTTGGCAACTTGACTTAACACATTCTGTTCGATGCATGGATGCTGAGCATTAGAGTGTACTTTTCAGCCATTAAAAATTATTGAACTACCACATATTAAGATCGGCCCACCTGGCTTAATTCAGTCAGTGAGTTGATGCTAGAAAATTTGCCTCGGTATTGTGATTTTCTTTTGGGCAACTCGCGTTTCCTATTGATGAATCTCTATCATTACTGCTAGCAACGCTCAGTCAGGGCTCGAGATAAGATAGACAATTGCTAATGAGTCCACTTATTTATCACGCTCGGTAATGTTGATTCACTTCTTGAAAATTGACTCTGCAGAAAGCGTTGAGAGTTCTACAGAGAAGGCTCATGGAAGAAACCACGGGCACGCGTCAACCAGCTCGAATTGCAATAACTGTGTTGTTTGTTCTGCCTGCTCGACACCTGATTCACATGGGATTGAATCCTTTCCAAATTCTCCGTATTGCGAAGAAACCCGCCCGCTGAATGGTGCTAGATCAAGGAGTACCAGTGGCGAAAGAGAAGACGTAAAAGTTTCCAACCCCACTCCGAAGAGGAGTGTTACAGCTGTTATTCGGAATGTTCTTGGTGTGTTGTTGATAGCAGGAGTATCTTTCATGCTAGGAGCCAAAGTTGGATCCTTGGGTTTCAAGCGAGAGAGAACTCCAACAGGGAGTGAGAATTGGGCAGATATTAAGCAGGTAGGTCTTCGAAACTTTTCCTTGTGGTGGAAATTGAATTGTATCAGCGCGGGCTGCCTGCTTTTACGTACTGTCGTCTATACTACAGCTGAGTGTGCTGCCCTGCTTCTGATTGCTCATATGTTTGGCTTGTCCTTCGATTGAAGAACTTTCCTTGCTCAAAGAAATTGGGAAGGGCTGGATCCCATGAACCTCGTAACTTTGCATGCTAGTCCAAATTCACTCCATATCGCTTTCGTAGTGGCGCATTTTGGTACTGCAAGTCTTGAAATTCCTGATCGAACAGTTGACAGATCTGATGAAGAGAGAATTCAAATTGCTTGCTGCTAAACCTAAGAACAATATGGAGAATCACACTAATGTAGATTGATTGCGCTCTGCGGTGGGGTGCCCACCTCTCCCATCTTGTGCATTTCACCCTGGCGTGTACATTCACCCGAATACTAGCAATCCTCCGTTCAATCTCCCTCCGTCCATATTTCCATCATTCTTGTCAACTACTTTTGGCCTAACAGAGATTAGTCTTTTCGTCTGATGAACAATGTCCTAGTACCATAGCCGAAGTGGCAGACTTCATAGGCAATATAGTGCTTCACTACAGTGGCAGGCATCATGCTTTGCAGGACACTGCTCCGTTAGGCATATCCTCTAGGAAACCTCTGCTGGATGTGCATCATCCTTCAGGATAGCGATTAGAATTTGGGTGGGTCGCGAGAAAGAACTTGCCAGTGGGTAGGTTCTAGAAGTCTTCCAAGCTATTTTGATTCTTCCCATTGATGTATACTTCCTAGATTCCACTCTTTCAAGTTCAAGACTTGGAATTCTTCTTAATAATAGTCCAAACCCGGATGCAGCAGATGGAAGCATGGAAGGAGACCGTCATTTCTGGGATGAGGAACCCGAACGACTTGATGGGGGGGCTCCAGAGCCGCAGATCAGCGCAGTACCAACCAGCTCAAAATCCTCTGCTTCCGGATAAGAAATTTAGCCCACCTGACCAATTTCTGGATATTAACCTCAGAAACAAGATTGCCCTTCGGTCAGACTGTGATGAGCAAACCGGCACGGATTCTCCCGTAACGACGGAAACGGAGTATCCTAGTGACAGAACTGCTAAAGACAAGGGTAGTAAAGGCTACAGCAACCTTGTAGCTAGAGAGTATCCTTTAGGCAACCTCAATGCACAGGTAGTTCCCGTGGAATTGAGAGGGCTGGTCGCTCCTAATGAGCCCAGAAGTTTTGAGAGTAATGAGCAAAGAGGTGGGTCTAGGACTACCGTAGAAGGTTACGGAGGCAATGAGAGCCAAGAGGAGGTCCTACGATGGAGGAAGATGCTGAGAGGCACCAAGGCTGGACTACGAGAAGACACTGGCGCAAAGAATTGACGCACAACTGAATTAGATGACATGAGAAGACTCTATCCGTGCAAAAATAGAAGTTGTCAGTACTGCGATGAGAACTTGCTTGTGATTGCTTATCTTTGAGGATAAGCTACAAAATGTGATATCAAGCTCTTCGTCGTGGGAAGAAGGCTAACTTCTTAGTGCAGCGTGAGACTGGAATAGGTGGAGTAAGTTGGATAGAGTGGTCGGTCTAAGCTTCTTCCGCTGGATAACTGTTGTCGTGTCAATCTCGAGATGGACGGTTACGACTCTAACAGCCTACACAGCAATCATACAACTTATCAAATTCTAGATGGATGCATATCCTAGAGTGTAGACATAAGAGCAAGACGGAGGTGCTGGATCATCATGTCAGTAGCCAGTCGGCCCCCCCTCAGCCTCTCCAACTGCATGTGGTGCAAAGTGTTTCTTCTCTGGCCCTTTGTGGGTTCCTGTACATAAATAAACAATATATCAATATCAAGTGTCCAATTTCTCTCTGTGGTTTCTTGTTGAGTAGAGTCTAGGGGTCAATCTGTAGCTCTCTAACAATCTAGAATTGCCTTGTCTGCACTTGTATCCTGCTTGGCCTTCTATGACAGCAGGATTAATTCACCAAATTAGAATACAGATGAAGTTTCTCGTGATGTACGTTATGTTCTTCTCGCTCTCAGTAACTTCTCACAGTGGTGTCTGTTTGACAGAGTGTGACCAACCAGATATGTTCATTTGGCTTGTATAGAGATTACTGATTTAACTTTTGTTGTCATGTTATCGTCGGTTTCTAACGTCTCTTCTCTTCGTCGTCATGTGCATCTCTAACTTCTTCTCTCCGCTCCGTCGTGCTGTCCGCTATATCTCTCTATCGCAGTGTTTGTCCCATGGTTCATGGGGGTTGTGGTGGACGTTAAAAGCTTTTCATTCATTCGTTTTCTCTCGGGAGTTCGATTACCGCTGTGCACACGGGGATTAGCGCTTCCCTGGTCTGTGCACAAGGGGACTAGCATCAAGGCTTTGAATTCCCGGCACCGACTTCTGGATAAGGTCTTAAATTCTTATGATACCATCAATCTTCTCTGCTTTCATGAATATATTACCTTTGGGCTGTTTACCTTCACATTGATGGTCTTCAACTTGCTCATATTCCCACGCCCCTGGTACTTAGCTAGCAGTCTTCTTTAATGTCGTATGACAGGGGTGAACTATCTTCATTACTTTTTATAACAAAGGTCTCCCTCCTCCTCTGGCTCTGAAGTTCGTGTTATCCGTCTGTTTTCGTCGAACTTAAAAACATCGTACCATAGACGTAGTATGATGCTTTTACTGAAATATTTTTTCTGGAGTTGGCGCACTTATAAAAGGTTCAATTCTTTTCATTTTCATCGACAAGACCGTTTGAAGAGCTATGGACCTGCAGTAGCCTTTAAAAAACAGGTTTGAGCATGTGATGATTTGCGGTGCATGGATAGTGCACAAGGGCAGTGCTCATGGTTCTCTTTGTCTCTGAATTCTAGTTGCTATCACTGGATGATTGGAAACCCGAGAAGAAGAACCTGTTCATGAATGTAATTGTTTTGCCTGGTCCTGGAATCGTAATTTGTTGTCATATATTAAATTATTTTGCGGGGAGTCGGTTATGTCAATATGCCCTGCTCCTTTACTGGTGTCCTATTCTACCATGCCTTAGAGACAACGCTTCTCTTTCATATCCGTCAAGAAATTCTTAGAAAGGACGGCCAATAAGTGGAATTACATCACTGCTCTGCTACCCTACAAATTCCCCCCTTTGTCATGAAGTTGGTGTGAGTCAGTACAGTATGATCTATCAGCTGGATGTGATAAAAATGTACTTGAGCTTTCTTCGGGAAGAAAGCCTGAAAAGAGTTCATGTCAATTCTATTTCTGAAACATGGATCTCTTCAACTGTAGCAACTTGATCTTCTACTCGGTGATTTGCACTTGGTACACTTTCTGCACTTGTCACTCTGCTGTTGTGGGCAATCCACATGTCCTCACTAGCTACCTCCTCTCTGTTTTGATCATGTAGGGTCTCCTTCGACATTGAATCTGGCAAATCCATTCGTTATCATGTCACTATGTATCACATAGCAGATGAAAAAATAAGCAAGGCGATTAGCGACGTTTATTCTACCTTGTTCCACTGTCAGGCTGCTGCTCTGCATCATCTAAATTGTCTTGAACTTGCAGTTAAAGCTTCCTCATTGCATGAGGTTTCTCATGAAACTGTGATGGAACTGCTCGTGCAGGTTTATGTAGCACGCCAGTGTGTTTGAGTGCCGTATCGAGATTGGAGTGGGTTCTGTAAATAGGAATTGAATGCATCGAAAAACCTGGCCGAAGTTCAGAGAATGGGCTTGTGAATGTGTACATTCACCGCCAAGTTTGGGATCGGAGATATCAAAGTAAAGTGTTGGCGTTCCGTGCATGTACATTTGTTGAAGATTTCATGCAGGTAAGAGGTACATTCAGTCAATCAACATCTATGTTCCTTGGCCTAGTAAAAGCAATAGAAATGAAAAGACTGACAGCCTTTCTTGTAAGTAGCCGGTGTTGCGAGGTGATCCTAAGACATTTTTCCAATATTGCATCGTTGGGACATCTGTTGCTAAGTTGAGAATATCTTTTTAGTGCACAGAGGATTCCGCCCTGGAGGATCTCAGGACCTCCGTTGTACACAAGACATACCATATCAGATTTCGGTAACCAAAGTAGAAACTTGCCCAATCCCAACGTGGGAACTCCACAGTATAGGACATAGCTCTAGGGACACGGCGCCGGACCAGGAGTCATAAGCCTGAACACATGTTGATGCTGCAACTAATAATTACTTCCAGCACTTGATTGCTATTTTTTTTTATCAATGCGCAGAGAATGTTGCAACGGTTGATCAATATATGAAGTCTGCCTAACATGAGAAAATCATTTTGAAACGACAACTCGCACAAGAGAACAAGCTGAACTTTGTGATCAAACAACCTGAAAACTGGATCGATCGTGGTAATGAAGAGGATGTGAAGAATCTGTTCGAATCTCACCTCAGAGACTTCAGCATTTCTGATCCAGATCCAACTAGAAGGACAACTAACACTGTGAGGAGTATACTGCGTGATCTTAGAAGTTGCCACCTACTCATTTGAGAAAAAATCTGTGGGTAATAAATATGACGTATCTGACCTGATGTACAAATCGTTGCAAAGATACAACGGCGAATTCAAACTGCGTTTGAAGACAACTTCAGAAAGCGCAAGTACAAAGGCGAATGTACGACGTGCTGAAGGTTTTGAAGTTTTGTCATTTTTGGTAAGAAACACTTATGGGCATGGCCCAACTTTGGTTAAGATGTAGGGCAAATGGGTCTCTTTACCTGCGTCTAAGCACTACTCTTGTTGGTCCGCAAAAGAAAAACTCATAAACCTTGATACATGAAGATTTTTAGAATAGGAATTTCCAATCTATGACTAATGTTTACATGGAAGCTCCCAGAGTTGTCGAGATCAGAGGTCGGGAGTGTTTAGAGACAGACAGAGGTCAAGACGCAGAAAACAAAAATTGAGATTCCGTGTCGTGGATAGGGGGATTACAAAGGGGAACATAAGGAGAAAACGACCTGCTCAGTTGGGGTGAAGAAAGGAGTACACAATATTGAGGATACAAAAGAAAGTAGAGAATAACGCCGAGAAGATCCAAGATTTCTTGGCCGTTGTGCCGACATCTCCTTCAGGATCACAAGTAGATGTATGATAGGAAAAGCAACACATGAAAGATATGTTTTGCACATTCGGTGAATCATGGAGTAATTTTCTGATTTATGGTCACTAATTACTTCTTCCAACTGAAAGTCTTTGACTCTGAGCGATTCAAATACTGTTGGATTTCTTCGATAAATGCCACTATTAGTATCTCTGCAATCGAGGTAAATGAAGAAAGAAAACCTAAGGGTGTATGAATGATATAGTGATGGAAGTTAGAAAGTGGAGTAAGGAATGTGTACAAGGAATTGAATGATTCTCCTTTCGAGGAGTTTATTGATTTCATCACAACCATATATATATTGTATATATATTATATTGTATTTAAATTGCACGAGCATTCGTAATGTTAGAGGTTTCTTAAATACATGATACACCGGTGCCAAAACTATGGGAAGCATACAGTGCTGATTTCTCACCTGAATACAGCCAAGTGAGAACAAAATGTTAGCAAGGACGTGCACGGCGAACTTGGATTATCAAGTGAGAAGTTTGTAACTTGGATACAGTGTTAAAGGAAGAGTGGCTATGTCTTAAATGAAGTAAGTTTGGTTTATCTATGTATTATTGTCTTTTCAAAAAAAAACATGTCAAACACAATTTGAGATGGATTGTAAACATGAAAATATGATTCATCATTGTACTAAATGATATATATACCATTCCACAATGATGTTGATACTCTAATAATTCGAAAATTATTGGAACTAATGATAAATATGTAAAAAATACATAAATTTAGATATCATATGACAATTTAACACAAAAAATGTTAGATCGATATTTCTTATTTTGATATAATTAATTAAATACATATTTCGCTCTCCAAAATCTATTCCAATCAGTTTCCAATGTTTAGCAAATTGATTGATTTATTAGATTGATTATCAGAGTAAGAAATACATCAATAAAGATGTAGATTTAAAATAAAACTTAGACCATCCTATATGATATGTGTGTCAATATATTTATTATTGATATTTTCAGGATTCTACTCATTACGGCTAGTTTCGTGACAGGGACTTTACTTTAGGCGATGTCTATTGGAGTGCTCATGTGGTTTGTGTGACGTTTAACTTGGATATTGGCTTATGATGATTTGGCTGCAGTAGTACATATTTCCATTCTGAAAAATCCGTCCAAGAGCAGAGTGAAATGTGGGGACTTCGCGCACGTGAATCGGCTACGAACCTACCGACTGAGATCGAACAAGCCCCAGAGAGAACCTCTCAGCTCAAACTTGTTCACTTTATTCCGGCGGTGGCCAAAACCAGCCTCATAGTTGCTGGACCCACTCACCCTTCGCAGACAATGAAGAGCTCCGAAAGGTGCGCTATGGAGTATTGGCGTCTTAGAATGTTGCTCTTAGCTTTCCATGGCGCCTACCACTCTAGGCTTGATGATGAAAGAGCCAGAGCTAGTGGGGAAGGTTGCTGGAACAACCTGTCTAGCCTCTCCTGGACCATGCAGCGGAAAAGTTGCTACGTCGAGATTCTTAGCTCGAATCGCCACCAGCTCACAGAACGTTGAATGATTCAGAAGCCCTTTATGTTTCTCTGCGCACAGCAGGACCATCATGTACCGATGCCCTGAGAATTGATTCCATATCCTAAAGCCATGTGATCGGAAACTCCATAAGCAGGTTTATTGGAATCAGATGTTTGACCTTGGTCAGCACAGAGCGCGAGTCCTTGACTACAAAAGTGGGGAGCACGAACGGGGAGTTCAGAATCCGAGAAACTAGGAGAAAATGGCGGTGGGCTTAAACACTTACATGACGAAAATGTGCTGAACTTCGAGACAAACTCTCGGACAGAGCTTGGTATCCTGCATATTTTTCCAATCTCATATTCACAATGCAAAAAATTTCCGGTGGAACTGTGAAAGGGGAAATCTTGTCAGAAAGTTTCACAGAAACAGCTATTGCGTCGAGCAAATTATGTCTTTTCATCAGCCAATTGTTACTTGAATGTGTCCTAAGGGGTATACATCCCCAAATTCTCAGAATCGAGCATTGGACTGTACTTGACTCATATCATCGTCAGACCCTAGAAATCATTGCAATACTCATCTTCCTGTGAATGCAAAGAAGAGCTGAGCACTGCACTCAATCCTGGTCTGTGGATTTTTTTCGGCCACCAGTGGAAATTCGGAAGCTAGCATGCATATAGTATCTGTCAATGACAGATTCTTCATGCATCTCCTTCTGCCGGCATTGGGCATCGTCCCATATATATCTAAACGTTGACAAGATTCTTAAATCATCAGATGGAGCTGGAGTGTAAATGGAGCTGTTTTCGATCGATTTGAAATGTTTTGGATGCTCCAAGTTTTGATTCCCACGAGGAAATTTGTACACTTATTTGACGATGTAAGCCGAGGCATGCACTTCGGTCCGCCAAGTTTAATGTTTTCCTCGCTGTCAAGGAAAGGAGGTGGCCCTTCCATTTTCACGTGGCTTTTTGTTCCTCCTCTTTACATGCACTTGATCCTCGTTTTAACGGAGGATGGAATCCGATGCGAGACCTGATCTCGGTGGCATCAAAAAACACGCCAGGTGCTTTTGGTGTCTACACTCTATCAATGGCTGCCAATCATCTCTGAGAATCGTGTTTCCTGGTGAAAGATGCCTCCTGGGCACAAGCACCACCGAGAAGAAGGGGCATCCTCTCTGAACTCACGAAAGTCTTGACGTCCATCTGCCGAAAGAACTGGACAGACCAAACGATTCCACCACTTTCCCTCAATGATTGCGGTTCAGAAGCATTGAGCAATCATTCTGTCGAACAACACTTCAGTCAGCGACTTTTGTTGCTAGGAATATTTCATCCGGACTGTCCTTGGATCTAAAGGTCAGACCTCAGATCAGATCGTATTGTCGTCATAGTAAACTCCTGCACAATCTAGACTTCATCCAGGTCAAACATCCACTTTCGGAGCTCAATGAACTGGTCCTTGCTTAACCCTCGACTACCGTCAGCTGCGCTTAATCAAGACGAGATCACTCTGGTGAACTAAATCCCTTACGTTGGAGGCCAGTGCTCCCTCCCACCTGTTTGATATTGTTAGCAGCCACTTCCTCTGTCAGACCATGTTGGATCAGGTCGAACTCGTCCAGCCTGCTTCAACCTCTCTAGGCTTGAGATTTTGCACAAACTTGCAGATTCCGCCACTGGAATTGGTCCAGTTCCATTGTCTTCGCTCTGAACACCGTCAGAGGTGCTGGAGTGAGAGACGTATCCCATTCAGTAGTCGGTGGATAACGCTCTACGCTCATGTTCATACTCATGCATGAACATTTGAAGTCACATGACAATCAATCAATCTTTCATCGACGGGACCCTGGCGGTCCAATCATGCATGCATTCGCTCCGGTGAACAGCGTACGATAATCACGTCGGAAGCAAGCTGCAAATCACCGGATAGGACTCCGCTCCGTCAGCTCCTTCTTCAGGTCTCTCCTTCACCTGGTTCGCCGAGGTCTTAGGAAAAAATCTGGTTCCTACAGGACGAGAAGAAGACTGTGCAACAGAATCTACCTCGAACCTCGTTCGGCATCCAGCACGAAGCTCATCCGGAATCGCCGTCTTCGCCTGCCTGCATGTGAATCTGTTGGCCCTGTAAGACGAGAGAACCGGTTCCGCAGGAAACCGACAGGCGCACGTACTGATCCGAAAGCAGAATGGGGCCGAAGACTGAATCAGTGGCGAGCAGATAGGTCCTAGTGACCCTCTGCACGAGATCGGTTTGTGCAGCTGCTGCTGCTGGCGAGTCGAAGACAATGGAAGCCTTTAAAATCACACGCCGTCAGCTCATCCGCCGCCGTGGCAGAAAAATCTTACGCTGTTCAGATGATCGATCTGTTCGACAGCGCATCGATTCTCAGACTCACTCCGGAATCGGGGGAAGTTTGTGTAACAATCAGATCCAGCGACGAGGAGCCTGTAAGGAAACGAATATACAAGAAATATACAATATTTACGTCGTCGCCGGTGACCGGCTACGAGAAACTCCCCAATTGGGACCTCGAGAAAGTGTTGGGTACGAGAAGAGAACGAGACAGTTGGTGAACTGGAATGAAGTTCAGCTTCTTATTCATCGGGCTTTTATTAGCGAATTATGGTGTAGGTAGCCGCGGCGCTCCTACTGGATCAGAGTGAATGTTTTCGAAGAATTTTCGGAGCAGCAAATGTTGGATAATTGTATAATCTCATGTCACCGGCCCGTGCAACGGGGCCGGAAATTGTGATGTTTATGTACTATGAATGCACTTCAAAAAATGGTCACCCTATGTCTCACTACGATCTGACGGACTAACGGAATAACGGACTGTGCATCTAAAAAATGAATTCTGGCCTACGACAGGTCAGTGAATCTCTCGACCGCCGCGGGTGATGCAGGCGGAGATGGATCGATCACGTCGAGCGATGAAAGCGCTGATTCCAAACTGTACCTGGTTGACTCTGTTGCGAGTCATCGAATACTCGGGGACACGAAGACGACGACGACGATGATGATGGTGGTGGTGAAGTATATACATATACTGCAGACGGAGTGATCTGAGCTGGCTGCAGGGGTGTCACGAGGCGAGGACCTTCAATGGGGACTTGCCAGGCGACTGCAGATCGGCCACCTTCAAGGCCTGAATGTGATTGAACAGCGTCGGCTTCTGCATGAGACCGAGCTCCGACGCATTCCACTCGAAGGAGCGCGAGTCCATGGACGGGCAGCTCGTGTCGACCTTCTTGTACCGATAGCAGATGGCGGACAGCATGTACAGAACCAGATTCACGGAAGCCATGGCGGCCAGCAGCCAGTAGTAGTAATTCAGATGGCCGCCGTTCAGGTCGCCGGAGTGGATCCACCGGCTGTCGCCGGTGATGTGGTCGACGAGAGTCGTGAGCAGCGAGTCGAAGAAGACGGCCGCGCCGAAGTTGGACACGAAGAGCGCCGCGCCCAAGGTGCGCATGCCGTCGGGCGCCTGGTCGTAGAAGAACTCGAGCTGCCCGACGGACGTGAACACCTCGCCCAGGCCCTCGAGGACGAACTGCGGCAGCAGCCAGAAGATCGACAGCGGGCGCGCGCCGCGCCGCGCCGCCGCCTCCAGCCTCCGCGTCTCGACCAGCGCCGCTGCCACCATGGCCGCGACGGAGAGCAGCATGCCGCAGCCCATGCGCTGCAGCAGCGACAGCCCGCGCTCGTTGCCCGAGTAGCGCTTGGCCAGCGGCACCAGCACCAGGTCGTAGATCGGGATGCTGAAGAGCACGGTCAGCGCCACGGCGCTCTGCATCGACACGGCCGGCACCCAGAGGTCCGAGCCCGGCACGCGCCGGTCCATGGCCTGCCCCTGCTGCACGAACAGCGTCGGCACCTGCGCCTTCACCACGTTGAACATAAGCGTCCCCATCCACACCGGCGCCATGCGCAGTACCATCTTCAGCTCCTCCACCTGCGTCACCGGGCACAGCCTCCACCTGCTCAGCGGAATCCTCGCCGTCCCGTCCACGATCCGAATGGTGTCGATCACCGCCGCCTTGTCCAGACATCTGTTAACCACGCACCGTCGCAGTCTCAGTCAGTCGTGGTTTAAATCACGTGGTTCCCATTCAACTGCGTCAGAATCGAGAGATTGAGGTAGGGAGGTAGGGAGAGAGAGGGTACCGGAAGCTGCTGGTGTGGCAGAGTTTACGGCTGGAGGAAGGAGGAGGAGGCGACGGGGCGACGGCGTCGGACCAGGCGAGCTTGTGCTTGCTGAGGTCGCGCTCCTCGTAAAGGCGGGAGTCGTCGAGCGGAAGGAGGACGCGGCGCTTGCGGAAGGCCGCGACGATGACCTGCGCCAGCTTGACGAGCGGGTTGCCCTTGGGCTGCTTGAAGCGGTAGAGCGAGACGCCGAAGAGGAAGACGCAGAGCGCCGACGAGAGGCTGATGGTGGGCACGCCGAAGCGCCACTGGTCGTTCACGTTGTTCTGCGCGTACACCAGCACCGTGTGCGACGTCAGGGAGCCCACGGCGCCGGTCAGGAAGAACCAGTTGAAGTAGGAGTTGCGCATGCTCTTCTCGCTCGCCTCGCGGTCCTCGAACTGGTCCGCGCCGAAGGCCGAAATGCAAGGCCACACTCCACCCGTCCCCAAGGCCACCACGTACAGCGCCGAGTAGAACACGCCCACCTGCGCCGACGTCGGGTCGGCGCACGACGAGTCGACGCACGTCTCGGGCTTCAGAGCGGGGATCGACACGGACATCGTCATCATCAGCAGCCCCTGCACAACAATATCGAACGAGGTCAGTTTCGCGAGCGATTGCGAAGCGCGGAATGCGAATTCGCCCGGGACGTGGGAGTCGGGTTCGTACCACGAGGTAGACGCCCGAGAAGACGCAGATCGTCCAGAAGCGCCCCAGGTACGCGTCCGCCAGGTACCCGCCGAAGAGCGACGTGACGTGCGAGACGCCGACCCAGTTCGTGACGCTGCGCGTCGCGACCTTCTGGCTGTCTCTCATGGACTCCTGCAGGTAATTCACGAGATTGCTGGCCAACATGAGCCACGCCATTCGCTCCAGCGCTTCGTAGGCTGCGCACGAGCCACAGCGCACGAGTGTTAAACACAACGAACACACAACCAAAATCGACTCCTCGACAAAAATCACAAACTCTCGAGGCCTGACCGAAGAACGTCGTCGTCGAGAAACCTTCACACATCCTCATACGTCCAATGCCATCGACCAAGTCCTGTCCCCGTCCTCGTGCATATTCGCTGTCGCGGATAATATTCATTCTGATGAGCGTAGAAGGTTACGTGACTGTGACCGGAGGAGATGGTGCAGGGGGGAGAGAGATAGAGAGAGAGGGCAGCAGGATTGCAAAGAAGTGAGAGAACTGGGCACAAATTGCACGAAGCTGTGGTTCGATCGATGTCGGCACGAGAATCGTTTCGCTCGTGCTTCAGAGCAGAAGATGGCCGGACACTAAATACACGAATCACATCGAAAAGTGCTGTTAGAACATGGGTAACGAGGGCAGAGAGTGCATACCGAAAAGAAAAGAGCAGGCCTTCCATCGGCCGGAACGAGTCCTATCGGTGGGCTTGCCCTGCAAATCCAGGGTGGTTTCCATCCCGCCATCCAGGTACATTACGGGATTCTCCTCGAGGTCCTCATTCATCAGCTCTTTGTGTAGCGGCGGCATTTCCCCGCCGAGTCTTCTGGTCTATACGGCCTACTGCTCGCCTGCTTCCGAATGTCGTCGACCCGAGTCTACTACGACCCGCACGGGCTCAGTGCTAGTCCAGTCCTCCGCCCATCATTATTCCGAGCTTCGTGATCGAAGTCGGTGGTGACGATCTGTGCCCGGTCATGTCCGGCTCTGTCACTCGCCCGATCGGTGTCGTCGTCGTCGTCGTACGAGAAGCAGCCGCGAGCGAGCGCAATCCGTTAGGCGAATGCACTCGGCCGACGAGCGCCGATGCACGTCGCAAAATTCGGCAGAGCCAGCGTTCCGCTTCTCGTGCGCCGCGCTCTATTTCTATCCGCATCGAAGGCAGAGCCCATAACGAGGTCGGGTCCGGCTCTCGAGGAGTGGCCGGAGGGTCACATTTGTGTCTCCAGGGGGCAGCGGATCCTCGCCCGATCGCCGATGGGATGGGCTCGGACCGACTACGACCACGCTTCTCCGAGGGAACGCAGATATGGCCCTCGCTCGCGAGCGAGGACTGACAGCGGCAGCTGCTGAAGCAGAAGCAGAGGAGCGTCGGGGTTCAGATGGTGGACGGGGGGTGGGGCTTATGCGAGCGCTAGAAGAACGCGAGGCTCGAGGGCCAAATGATGGGGGCGCTTCTGAGCGTCGACTTCGCCAGACTCTTCGACGTAGACAGGCTGTACACAACTCATGACTGCATGCGCTTGCCTCCCGCCACAAATCATAATTCGGTCCAAATCCTTCGGCTAATCGTCTGCTGCTGCGGCTGCTGCCGCTGCCTCAGCCCGAAGGAACACGGTGAGGGCCCTCCTGCGCGCACTCGGCGACCATAATTACTATTTCTCTCGCACTCCACTCCACTCCCCTCCCCTCCCTCCCTCCCTCCCTCCCTCCCGGGCATCCGAATTACGAATCCGCTGTGACCTACCACACGTCCTCGCCCTGCCCGCCCCAGAGCTCTCGAGCTCTCTCTGTCAATCATTCACCCGATCCTGCCCGTCTCTCTTCCTCTCTCCCCCTCTCTGCCGCTGCCGCTGTGACAGGTACTCCTTAATATTCTCCCTCTGTTCCTGCCAGACCCTCCCTCCCTCCCTCCCTCCTTCATGAGTATCCTCTCACCCCTTCCTCTTATCTCTCTCTCTCTCTCTCTCTCTCTCTCTCTCTCTCTCTCTCTCTGACAGAATTTAGTTATCAATCAGCTCACCCGCACACAGGAATCAGTGGGACGAGCCACCCACCAGCCCAGCCCGACTCCACTAAATTCACACAAAGCACCGATCTTGAATGTCGAACTAATGTGGAAAGAGCGCTCTTTTCCATAAGTCTACTACCCCCAACGACTTGGAATGAAGGCAGCGATCTTGACGTGGCTGGCTCGCCGCTTCCGGCCTCTGCTCTCTGTCTCTTCAGACAGTCTGAGTGAATCTGCCAGCGAGGAAACGAGGGGCCCTGCTCGAAAGACAGCTGCGGCTCGAGAAATTTCACCCTCTACATTTCGGCCCGATGTTTCTTATGCCTTCCTCTGTCTCTCTGTCTCTCTCTCTCTCTCTCCAGCTCTTTCTCTCTCCGCAGCTTTCTCTATGTTGGTGAGTCGTCACTACCAGCACCACCACCGACGGTTCCGATAGCTCAATTATACTCACTTTTCCCCAGTGCTTACGATTTAACACTAGCTGGCCTGCTGGATGAGTGGATGGATGGCTGGCTGGGGGTTCTGGCTGCCTGGCTGGTTGGGAGAATGGGGGCCACGCTGGGCTGGCCGGAGCTGCAGCAACATTCTTGCTGCTGTCTTGGGCCGTGTTATCTCCTGATTGTATGTCCAGTGCTGCAGCAGCAGCTGCAGTTGCAGCTTTCTTTGCACTCCTTTCCTTCTGTTTCTTCTCTGTGGCGGCCGGGCTGCTCTCCAGACGTCGAGTCCAGGCTCCTGCCTGCCTGCGGGGTCATTAACGAAGTTCCGTCCATTCCTCCATCTATTTATTCATCCGCTACCACTGCTCTAGTGATTGAACCTTAAGCTTAAGCTGAAGCTGAAGGCAGATTGGTGGTGACCGGTTGCGTGGACAGTATTAGCGGAGGGAGGGCGACTTTCACCATTTTCCCAGATTGGCGGCCCGCTTGGGGCCGGAGCGAAATGACGCTTTGTCCAGCGGACTACCACCATATCCCCGATATGACTCTTTGTCCAGCGGACTACCACCATATCCCCGCAGACAACTTTGGCCCGTCGGCTTCTCCGTCCGAGCTAGACGACAAAGCCCCCTGTCCTGCTTCAACAGATGCCCTGATACTCGGAGCCCATCCCCTTCTGTTACGTTGTGTTACTTGAGACTTTGGACGTCACTGCTTTCTTAAGACCAGCCTTACGTCATCCGTCCAGGACAGTCCCAGCCTTTTATCCCAGACTGTTAGCCTTGATTCCGTAATATCAAACATTACATGTCCATTTTCTAATTGTCAACCTGGCCGGCCACTCACGTTAACTGGGTGCGGGCAGTCTGTGTTTTCTTTTTCTCAAATTTATCTGGTCATGAGCAAAGATAACTGAGTTTTTTTTTTATTTCAAAAAAAGGATTCATTTCAATAATGAATTTGCATTTTATTTGCTTCCCCTGTTTAGCGGCTAATTTCCATCGAGACTGACAAACTTGTACGAAACTTTTAGACATACTTGGCTCTTAAGTATATGTTGATAATAGTGTCTGTCAACGTTGATCCCACTGTCATATTGTTATAGGTGAATGTTCCTGTACTTGCAATGCCTCAGAACAGTAAAAATATCGATTATATGCAGGTAATTGTACATTGTAAATTGTACCTAAACATATATTGATGGAAAGCTACTTTTCTTTGGAATGTTTGAATTGGCCATGGAAAGATCCAAATCTGTACAGCTCTTTCCAGCACACCCCTTCCATGCCTATCTCACGTATGTCTTCAGGTCCGAAAGTTGCTGGAAACCCGAGAACAAAGTATGAGGAACACCTTGTTTCATATACATATCTGTGTGTGTATGTATAAGACCGTTCCAAAAATTGGAATCCGCCCTTTTCTTACATATATTTTTTAACGGCCGTCCACTTTTGAAAAGACTTGTTGGATGAGTTTAATGTTGGTGTTGGAAGATTGTGAGGCTAACGGCCACAATGAAAACGGTATGCATGCAAATATTTTAAGTAAATTCGTAATTCTATTGGTTGTTATTTCCCAAAGGTATGAAGTGTGGAGTGTTGTGAAAGAAAGAATGAAGCTTTCTGAGAATATTTCTCGAATACAAAAATACAGAAGACGTCAAGCCAAAACTGATCGACACAACTAAGAAATCATATTCTTCGTACATCAGTGATATTACTATTGACACAATTGTATCAACTGAATCAGTACAGCGGTTGAAGCAGTCATATAAACTCAGTTTTTAGATTTTTCACTCTGTATATAGAGCTATATTTTTTCAAACTTGAGATATTTTTTTTAAGGATTCTATTTTAATTCATTTTAACGATTATAGGAAACTGCCCACAACCGCAGAAATTTGCATCCAATCCCATACATTTAATGTGTTCATTTGTTCTTCAAAATTGCTGTTTTCGATTTTATGTTACTCAAATATTTTACTTATTACTCATAGTGCTTCAGTAATTCTAACTTGAAAATTACTCAATATTGTTCTTGCTTACAACATGTGATCATTCTTCAGACTTTGGGTAAAATTAAGTTTGCAAATGCACATTTTCCCATATTATATATTTCATTAGCACAGTATGTTAACTTTTATGGTTTACTCCGTTGCTAAAATGATGATGATGTTGCTTGCATGGAAACTCATAGGATATCCTTTTGTTAACATAACACAATACTTATTAATATAAACCGATATTATCACCCCATTTCATATAGACCTTCATGTATACTAGGTTATTCCTTGTGGTCTCACATCATCTCATGATCTTTGAAGACTTTACAAATCAAGTGGTTTACATCTACAGAATATGAAAACGAGTCCTAGTACTTTAGCGCAATACATGTATTCTAAATTGAAACAGACATTATATACTGATCAAAATCTTGACAACACCCAAATGTGTGCATAGCAGAATCCAGAGAACCACGACAGGATAGGAATTCCCAAGATATATATGATATTAAAGTATCAACATAAACGAAGACAAATGAATACAGTGATGAGTGTCAGGAACAAACATCCTGAAGAAAATCTCCCGGATGCCTAGAAAAATCCATAAAAAAAACTCTTCTGCTCATTGACAGTGAGTGCCTATCAGAAACTGATTCTTACTACGAAAGCACATTCAAAGACACAGTTTTTGGGTATGAACAGCGAAGTACCTTAGTTTGGGACAGATACATCACCAGAAACCATTAACGACAGGTGATGGTATTGAATACGTATGTTGGGTCCCAACTGTATACGGTGGTGTATAACTTTAATGAATGAGTATTCAATACCTTTGTAGTGGACAGAGTTAACATGATGCCATGACCATCATGGTATCATACGGGAAGATAGTAGTCATACCTCGATCGTATGGCCCACATATGATGTCATAAATCGCTTGTCTCATTGGATTTGAGTTCATCATGTTACGTCTCTGAGCCCAAGCCCTCACCACCGTGAACTCCTGTAGAGCTAGGACTGATGAACACCGATCTAGCATTATGACCACAGGATATTCCGAATAATTAATTTTGAAAACAATTCCTTTCTATATCCATCAATTCTAGGCAACTTTTCCCGGACCACCGATGTGTTGAATCTCACGCTTTTCAAACATTCAACATCTCTGCCACAACATTCAATGATTATGTATGGCTCATTAATATTTAATAACTAGCCTCACATCACTTTGCAAAGTCATCATATCGACATACGGAGACCAATGAAGTGGTGTAGGTTGTGTTCGAATTGTACATAAATCATGAACTGGCATACCATACTTGTCTCGATATGAGAACAGTATATTTATGGACACCTCTAATATACCATTATTGCTTCGTATTTAAATAAGAATATAAATGAATAAATGTTACACTTGAGTCTTCACCTCAAGTCATGACCTGCTTATACTCTCGGCCTACGCATACCATCACCATATACTTTATTTCCATCCGTACACATATGTCCCTGCTCATGTCAAGTATAACTGGGAACCAAATTAATAATGATGCTGGGATAAAACATCATCAATATAGTATGTGCAGAGACTTGACTCTTCTTCTGTTTCGCCTTCCTTACGCATACTTGGTCTCCACCATTTCTCTATCTGTATGACTGTCAATGCGAATGTCCTGTTTGCAAGGATTAAAGCAACAAAACAGGTCTTCCTACCTGGGGCAAATATAACTACAGGGATCAGTGTTCCCGAGCATGTCGTCATGGAGAAGAATGTGTTCCACTGTGGAAAATGGTTCACAAGTTTAAAATAATATATAAAATATAATGTATTCTATTGGTCTTTTTTCCCTGGTATGTCTAATGCACTAGATTTGCACATATCCACAACATTCTTACATGCACATGTCTCGTAGATATAGTAGTTGA